TTTCTTCTTGTTCATTTTCATTCCAATAAGTCCAAATATTGATGATAATGAAAATTACAGATTTCTACAGAAAAATGATCCCATTAGAGATCACATTCATCAGCCATTCCTATCTCGCCTCATCACTCGCTCTATTCATGAACGGTTTTCTTCTATTCGCTGTATTGAGGAGAACGCCAAACGAGTTGAGAGCATATCGTCTAGTCATCAGTAATATCGGTTTGGCGACAATATATTCTTTCAAGAATATCGATTGACTTCTTTTCAGTTCTCTGCGATTTTCTGATCGCTTTCGGTAATTTGTGGCTTCAGCCGGTACCGTCAAGTTCGACAAGAGAGGTGCATCAAGGCTACAATATCAAAATTGATTAATCCAGATTTTATGTCTATAGTTGTTCCATGTAGTCTACCGTACAGCCCTACCTGTCTATTGAAAACAAATAAAGCACTCAATCTGACTGAATATCTTACATACTGTGATTATGATTTTTAGCAATTAGTACAGTTAGTCCAGACAAGGCCAGGGTCTAAGTCAGTCAGTTTCTAGACTGGCTGAAACAAAACTTCTAAGCTCCTGGAGCTAGACTGGCTTCTAATCTGGCTCTGGTCTGGCTGACTAACAAGTCCAGAAGCCAGTTGGAATATCCGCAATCAAAACCCGAAATCCCTTCATTTCAGGTAACCCGTCCTCCAAACGATTCCGGTGTCTCCTACGTGATCATGGGTCCAGTTGTCTATTTCATTCATCCCGCCAAGAATCACTTGTTAACGTGCGCATTCGTCGGGTAATAGTTGCTTTTTTAGGTTTTAAATAGAAACCCATTTTCCAGGCTCATTCAATACAGTCTTATGGCAGTTCCCCTTTCATTCGCTTATCGTTATTTCCGGATCTGCCACCCAAATTTTGCCGACTTATTTACGAAATTGAAGGTATTTATTTAAATTTTAAATTTACATAAAAGCTAATTTTAGACGATATTCCCCGTTTTCGTGATACTTATTTTGATAAGTGCGGCGGCGACGGTGTTGATGTGGATGGGCGATATGCCGAAATCCGGTCCAGCTGCTGAGGTAAATAAATGACAAGGAAAAGGGTCGTTTCTTAAAATTCCAATAAAAATATCTATAAGATTATCGTAGTGACTTGATTTACATTTATTTCTGCTCTTAATCGTTTGAGAACAATGACAGCCCGCTTCCAGGTCTCCTCGTGGTCCGAATACTACACCCATCTCGACGACGATCCGAATCAACCGCTTTTCGGCAATCTCATTCACCTTGACTACCACGTTTACTACACTGAATACATATTTCTTGTCATGTTCGTCATCGGGTACTCGATTTTGATCGTCTGTGCGATGCTGATTGTGAGGTGAGAATCAGACATGGATGCTAAACTACAAACGCTTCTAACTTGTTTCAAATCTTTCGCATTGACATGATCTATAGCTTAAAAATAGAGAATCTCAAGAGCTTTCTAATGGATCAAAGCACTCCCAAAAATATCAATCCTAAAGAAAGTTACAATGGTTTGTAGTGAGTCGATCGCTTCGACTACACGCTAATACGGTCCATCAGGCTACAAACCACTGTAACTTTCTTTAGGATTGATATTTTTGGGTGTGCTTTGATCCATTAGAAAGTTCTTGAGATTCTCTATTTTTTGAGTTATCGATCATGTCAGTCCGACAAATTTGAAACAAGTTAGAAGCATTTGTAGTGCGACAGTCCGTCATTTTTGTAGCTTATAGTGCCCATATCTATATCTTCCAACATCCTAAACCATTAGTAATTTTATAGTGTACTTTGTATTAAAGTAAACGCATCTTATCTAACACACCGAAATTCCCGGTTTTTCTCTAAAGTAAGCCATGTTGTACGCAGAAAAATGGGGAACTGAGCGCGTTTGCACTCAAAAAGCCTTAGCAAACAACAAAAACACGTTTAAAGGAAATTTTAGCAAATTTTCAGCAATCTATTCAGTTTTGAAAAGCTTTAAAAAAGAATTGCCAAAAATTTTTGCCAAAGAATTGCCATTTCCCGGAAAAGTGCACCAAGACTGAACCCATGACCGGGAACTTTCCTTTACCACAAAATTTTGCGCGTTCAACTCGCACAAAATTGTGCAATTCAATTTTACGCAATTTCTCTTTTCACTTTAAACATTTCTTTTCACAAATGAGCTCGAAAATTTCGTAATTTTCGAATAAACATTTTGCTCAACTTGATGCGTCAAAAAAATTCGATATTTTCAGGTTTTAATATAAATTTTTCCGGTTGTAATGCGGTTTTTTTCGAAATTCAATCAAAAAATCCAAAAAATGAACTCCCCAGTGAGCTGGGGGTACAAAATGAGTGAAATTTTGTGAAAACAAATTTGTTTATCTCGTTTTAGAGATGATAACTAAATAACTGGTTTCAGCAAAAATTCCTGAAAAAGTTCCGTCTAAAAAAGTCTACAAACGGCATCAAAAATCCTACGACTTGATTTGATTTTCATGTAAAAAAATGCGCTCGGAAAATTGAGAGTTGTGCGAATCAAAATAACACACTTTTCTGGTACTTTTCTGGTACTTTTCTGGTACTTTTTCTCCTTCAGAACTGTGCTCATTTTGTTAAAACAAGTAGTTGCCAGTCAAATTGACAAATAATATGAAGCGATTTTGAATAAAAAAAAATAAAAAAATACCGACTGGGGCTACCAGTGGTGAATTTATCGCATACACGAAATATATCAATCACAATACAACGACACACACAATACTAGGCTATATCTTAACTTAACCCACGTCATGACAGACGGCTCCCTAACCCTAAGCTCAATGGGGAACTAAATAGCTTTTTTGGTGGTGAAGGGAAGATGACGATGAAGGAGTGGCTTGTCACTTTAAAAAACTGGGGCCACAACCACCAGACTGCCCTCCAGAAAACCTCTCAACCCGAAGGGAAAGGAAATCCGAAGGGGGTGACCATGTCGCATGTGGGGTTCGAACCCTCGACCTTCCGATTAAGATAAAAGACACGTAACCAGTCAGCCACACGTGCTCGATTAAATAGATTAAAAAAAACTATAAACTGTTAGTAAATAGATAGTTAGAAGCTTCATTTTTTAAGTTAATACACTTAACACATTCGCGACAATGTGTCAATGACTGACACGCTATATTGCGTTTTTATGAACCAATTTGGCTGAAAATTTGTATACTAGGGCTTTCGGAGGTGGGGAAACCGAATACGGTGTTAATTTCGATCTACAACAATCCCAAAAGGAACTACGATAGCTTTTTCTAAAAAGTATCTCGAAAAAGCTACAGTAAACTCATGAAAAACGATAAAAATTTTCATGTTTACTTAATCGCACGGCTTTTGGCACATGGCTTAGGTATAGGGGTAAAGGTATAAGGGTAAAGGTATAAGGGTAAAGGTATAAGGGTAAAGGTATAAGGGTAAAGGTATAAGGGTAAAGGTATAAGGGTAAAGATCGGTTTCTTTTTTCTCGGTTTAATTACCCAAATTTCTGATATAGTGTTGGTGATTTCAGGATTCAAAATTAACGACAAATTTGGATTGTCAACCACAGAAAACCCTTAGAAATAAAGTTTTAGCCCTTTAACTTTGATTGATCCCAAGTATAGATTGATTTTTACAAGATCCAAGAACCAAACCTCATTTCAGAGGCCTTCAACACATGCAACGAAATCAAACGATCAGCTCGCGAACATTGCGAATGCAGAGACGGCTCACATATTGTTTAATGTGTCAGGTAAATGTCAGCAATCATTTCAACCATTTCAACTACATTTTAGTCCCTTCTGCCGATAATCTTTGGCGGAACACCGATCGTGATTATTGCGGTAACAATTGGATTTGGACTCTATACACAGGTGAGAGCAAGCAACAAAAAACAGTACAACATTTCAATAAAAGCGAACACAAAAAGTGTTCATAATAGACGAAATTTGAAATTTGTTCTCTTAAAAGTTGAAATACACTCTTTCTGGCGCACTCAATTTATAACTTTTTCTCTCAAAGCACCAGAAAGGGGTGTGTTTTCGCTTTCAAGCACACACTCAAAGAATCAAAGAAGTACTTCTTTGAGTACGATCGTAGGATCATGAGTTTTACTGTAAAATCGTAAGAAACCACTATAATGGTGACAAAATCTTACAGAATCCTAATCGATAGTTACATATCCTACAATTGCAGTTAGTCTCAAGTCTCTCGATGGCAATCTGGTCCTATCAACAAATCTTTGGTCCACTTCTCACAATGCTTTTCATCCCAAGTTATCGCTATGGATCAAGGTATAAAGAGAGCTTGTGAAGAAAGAGAAATGAAGAGAAGAAAGGAACGATCAAAGAACAAATAAAAGTAGTTGATAATGGAATGAAGATACGTTAAAGATTGGGAATTCAGGAGATGGAAAGAGAATGCATCAAAGCTTGTCAATAACTCGTCTCATTCAAAAGAAGCGCCTGTGGCCAGTAAATGGTTGCAGAAGAGGGCCGTGATCAAAGTGAGTGATTTGTTGAAATGTTATCAATGTGCCCGAGTTTCGTCGAGAGATTATAGTCTTCATTCATTGTAAAGTTGTGATTAAGTAATTTAGCTAAATAATTTAGTTATTTAGCTGTTTCTTCTAGCTAAGCGTTCTTGTTATGCATGGATTTTGAATGTTTATTTTTATGTGTGAATAAATGCTCATATCAAATTCTAAACTACACCATTACAGGTGGCTACCATAACCCGGCGAGAATCCCAGCCAACCATAGCCACTTCAGCGTCGGATCATCAACGAGAGCGTGCTTCTTCTCTATTTCCCCGGCCAACAAGTGCCAAGCAACTCAAATTCAGCGCAATTCAAATCAAATAAAGATTCTACTGTGCATGCAGGCTAGCATTTGCATATTATATGTTTATCCATTAGAAAATATCAAGTACTTATGTGCAAAACAAAATGATCCAAAATCTTCATTCACCACACGATTTCAATTTATTTAAACTTTCCACGGATGTTTTAAATTGGGACGTTTCGTTTTGCTGATAGTCTAAAAAAGTTGTACAAGACACGGATACTTTATGAAATATATTAAAATACTGAAACCAACCGCGTATTTGCCATTATCATTGCAGCCGACCGCTCTTCGATTGGCGTTACTCTTGTCGGAGCTGTCTTTTCCCGAAATCTGAGGCGGTACGTGTCCCAACAAAACCGGATTGACCGGATCCATATCTAAACAAAATAAACTTGCAAAAGCTGTTGTTTCGTTTGAAACATCAGCTCATAACCCTTAAAAAAAAGCCACCAATCACTACTTCCGTCGATTCCTTGTCTCTCATCTTGATCGGATTTTTGTTCCTCTCCGACTTGGCCGTTCGCAAGATCGGTCGCATCTCCGGCTTTTCCTTCTTCACCATTCGAGCGATTTCTTCTCTGTAAATGAAAATTGCAAACACGAAATATAAAATAGATATTAATACAAGAAGATAGCTAAACCTGAACATATTTTCAAATTTTAAAAAGCTTACTTGCAAATCGCAATCACATCATCGGCCATCCTTGGATCCGTATCGACACTCTTCTCGGCGATCAGCGCCGCTCTTACCAATGGGGCCACCAGCGCGCTGTCGGGACGCTCAATCACTACCGATACCTAAACAAATAATGATGAAGACTATATAAACTTCAAAGAACTTCAAAAACGTACAAATCCTTTTCTCTCTCAAGGCACGAGGTGAGCATTTCACTGCTTTTAACAAAGGCATTGGCCAATAACGCTATCCCCAAAACATACGATCTACAGAAAGAATGGCATCGCCGACGAGCAGTGTTCGTTTCGAGACACAATTGAAACCGTTGTCCGTCGAAGTAACATAAACCTGAAGTAGTTGCATGAATAGAAGAAAGCTCTAGCTTGCTCACCTTGTTGTTGTACGTTTTAATCTTCAATCCAAGCGACCCTCGAGGCAAAAGAAGCATGTGACCTTCAAGGTACGTGAATCCCAACTAAATTAGTGATCTTTAGAATGAAAAAAGGTAAAATGGATACAAAAGCCAAATACACACTTGTAAATCGACGGCAGCTGGGATAAGCGGAGAATTCAGCGGGATAGGCTCAGTACGGATGACACGAAGAAATGTGATGTTTACCTAAAAAAAAGTAATAGAAGTAATACAAATAAATGGCTAAAAACATTCAAACGTAAACTCACCTCATATTCAGCTTTGCTATCGGTGGCCAACTTTTTGAGGAAAGAGTTTAATTGCGACTTGGCGGTGATCTCCGTTCCATTTACCTGAATCAGAAAAATTATCTTTTGTAATCAAATAAAAACAAACTTGATACTTGATGTTGAAAAAGACAGCAATAAAAATTTAAAAAGTAAAAACCCACATCTTTAATCAGATCGCCCAAATCCAGCTGTTCGGTCTTGATGCCAAATGTTGGCAGCGTGATCACTTGACAAGCCGAGTTCACTTTCACATCAAACTAAACAAAAAAGTATTGCAAGTTGTCATTTACATCAAAAAGTTACCACTTTCGCGGGCGGCACCTTGAAGTTGAGAGTCCTTTTGTTGAGGAGTCGCTCGGGGACGGCTGACAAAGGATTTTTCGACTTTCTGAAGTGAAAAATTTGTTGTGGTAATAAAAACAGTAATTCAATAATAAGTCTAATCAAGAAAAACTCAACTAACCATAATCAATGAGTCTTAAAAACCCTAATTATAAACAATACTTTGAAAACTCGAAGCCAAATACTCACTTGACAGCCCCCGATACTTCCTCTTTCGTTTCTCTGGTCACGTCATTCTTTCTAAATGGAGAATTTAGTTAGTTTAAAGAATAAATACGCCCAATTACCATAAAATACTGTAAATCCACCCACATTTTCGTGTCTTCGGGTGGCGGCTGTGTGTCGGGTTTCGTCTCGGCGATCGGCGCCTCTTTTTTCTGCACTTTCTCCATTTGTTAATATTGAACAAAAGTCTAAAATGAAACTGTTAGCTTTAAAGAAAGGTCCTGTGAAACTAGACAAGAAACAGCTTTTAAACAGCCACTCACTTGAGTTTCCAATATACGAATCGTTGCGAGTGATTCTAAATGATAAAAGGGTGTAGAAAGAATCAAAGAAATTTAATTTTTTAAAAACTAACAATAATTAATAGAAAATGCAAACCTCGCGCTGATAGATTTGTAGAAAAATGATGCGTCTTCTTGGATGAATTTCATTTTAAATCGACCTAAAATTCAAATTTTGTGTTATTCATGTAAATTTCACTCTTGCGAAAAATTGACCCTTGTCCCAAAAAGTCATTACGCCAATAAAGATCATCAACGATGGCGATTGAGCCATCGAGAAGTACTTGTTTTCCTGGGATTGTGCATACCAGTAGTTCCAAGTTGTTTCAGCCTCCGGGTCAGGGATGAAAACTCCCGGACAATCATACATAGTCTTACTGCCAATGTCGAAGTCAATGTTTGCAAAATCTCGGAATGAGAAATCTCTGCACAATCTGCACAACAATATTTTTAAGGCTCGATTTTATGCTAGAAGTGTGGCTTTTCGGGCATGACCCGATTCGACACGCAGTTCCTGAAAAAGGAAAGTTATCTATCCCATTAATGTAGGTGATCGTTCTTGTCGCGCCATCAAAATCGGTTTTTTTATGAGGTATCGAAACTCTTTTGCCCATTCTAACCCTTACCGCCACAACTCCTGGGTCGCAAACGATGAGCAAGATGAAGAGAACCAGAAAGAGCCGCATCGAGATTGCACCCTGAATCAAAAAAGAATAGATTTTAGGGGAAAACAATAGATACATCGAAATGAAATGTTAAATGAGTCAAAAACTATGCGCTTCAGTCAAAATCTGGGATTTACAAGCTAGTTGTTAGCTAAAGATGTAGTAAGCTAAGGAAAAAAATCGGGATAAGAGCGAGAATTGCTCACTTGCTGAGGATTCCTATCGATTCAAAAGCATTATGCGCAAATTTTAAAGCTATTTTGCATCTTTTAGGCCAAAACTACGCCGAAAAGGAAAATACTGGGGTAGGCTAACTTCCGCCATTTTATTTGCGCAACTCGTCATAACTTTCTTCTTGACACCAAAATCAAAAAGATTGGCCCACTTAGAAGAAAGTTATGGCGAGTTGTGCAAACGACCCAGTTGCGCAAATGACCCTATTGTGCAGGTAAAATGGCGGAAATTAGCCTACCCCAAAAATACTGGTTAAACATTTACTTTTTTTTTCGTTTCGATTTCGTTTTCATCAACAGAGCATAAAAAGCAACTAGAACTTTCAAGTAAATCGGTTCAGCCGTTTTCGAGAAAATGCTCGGACAGACACACACACAAAGTCGCCTATTTCGCCTCTTATACCGTAATACCTCTAATAGTAGAGCCCCATATAATGACGGTCGGAGCGTCGCGTAGTCTAACTTTAAACGCACTTTTCTCACCACCCGTTTATGCTACAGTGTGCGCTTAAGTATCAAATAAAAGCTGAAATTCAGGGCTATTTTTTAATACCAAAAATGCATTTTTAGAAATTATGGGCGCTTAGAAAAAAATGATCTATGGAAAATTTTTTGCGACTACGCGACTATACGGAGGGGGGCGCCACATCCGCGCGAAATGGTGTTCTCTATCCGTTTTCCATGTTTGAATAGCCATTCAACGCAGAAAAATGTGCTGATTTCAATGGTGAAAAAATTATCAAAATCCGTCTGATACATTTTTTAAAAATCGCATTTTATCGAAAAAATCGCACTTTTACAAGCAACTCGCTCGCAGCGACCAACTTTCGGCGGCTCGTTTTCAGCGTGCTCGAAAGATTGCGCCCTCAAAACCGATAACTTTTGTGTGGACGTTTATAAAGATCATTTTGATACCAAAAAAATAAAAATTGATCAACTCTGCGAAGACTTGATGCCTTTTTAAGTTGAAAATGACGTTTTGCGACTTTCTGCCCGCTAAAACGTGGGCAATCGCCAACAACCTATTTAAAGCAGCCCGACATTTATATTACTATTTGAATTTGTCCTTTTTCCCAGAGGCTTTTAACTTATATTTAACTTATCTCTATTTAAATTGTTGATAAACAAACTCTTAGTAAGCTTTTTAATAGGTTCAGTATATTTCTGGTTCACAAAGAGACGGTTAACCAACAACTACCAGCAGTCATTTTTTTAGCTTTTTGATTAATTCGTTTCTTATTTCAGAAAGTGTATCATTTCTTGAGCTTAACATTAGTATTTTCATTTCAGGTTCGACAGCGATGCCACAGGCAAGCAAACGCAAAAATGCATCTATGAAGAGAATAACAGATTTAAAAAGAAAAAAAGACCAAGCAACTTTGGATCAGGCAAAAATGTTGATTGTTAGAAGAGGAAAGGCAGAGAAAGGAAGAATCACTGCAGAGATGCGGCGAAAACGAAGGAAAATCCTTAAAGCTGCCCGGAAAGTTCAATGTAAAAATCACAGAAAAAGAATGAGAAGAAATATTGCTTGTCGATCGCTCTCTCCGTTACAAACCCTTGCACTTTAGTCGAAATCTAAAGTATCACGTGAAGCTCATCGAATTTACGGTCATGAGACTCGTACTCTTGCAACGGAGTATCGTATGAATATGGTACGAGCAAGCCTTGCAAAAAGCGTCGACTACGAAATTGAAGGCGATATTGTGAAGCTAGAAGACATGTTTTCTTCCGTTCAATATCGACTGTCTAAAATTAAAGACAACGAGAAACACCGTGCTGTACTTTTGTGTGATAAAGGACTGGATGTTACCAAAGTTACAATCATGTTTCCAGACAAGTCGGAAAAGCAACAATCCCCTTACAATCAACTGATACTTGCCGCGTGGTATGGCTATGACAATAACGAAAATCTGTGCAAGATAAAGGACTTGTTTGAAAAGCTTTCACCTTTACCTTGTACCTTCTTGGGCGGTGATCTCAGTTTCATGGCTTCTGCATTCGGAATGTCGTGTGCTTCAACGTATCCCTGTGTGTGGTGCTTCTTTAAAGCTGTGAAGACGCGAAAAATTACGGGCGTTAAGGAGAAATTAGACCAAACACACTACGAAAGACGTACCATCCTGAGTTTTGATGAGCGCTTAAAACTTCCAACAAAAGACGCCGAAAATCGAAAGGGTGTGCTTCGGCCATATGTATGGAACATTGAGCCTAAACATTGTGTTCCACCGATTCTGCACATCAAATTAGGATTCGGAAATCAAATATTCAAGGCTATGGAAGCTGAAGTTAATCTTAATTCGTTGGAACGCGTGCAATTCGAAGAGCTTTCAAAAAAGCTAGGTTTTCTCAAGACGCACAGGTCGGATGACCTAAACGGTCCAAAAATCAAAAAACTTTGTCAGAATCGAAATATGTATCGAAAAGACACATGACGAAAAAACACGACGAGAAAAGCCAATAGAAAATGAATAAGAAAATGAATGAAAGGAAACAAGCGCGGCTTTTCTACTTCATGCTTTTTGACACGTTGGGTTACGGCAGATTGGTTGGGTTACGGCCCACGTTTTAGCGGGCAGAAAGTCGCAAAACGTCATTTTCAACTTAAAAAGGCATCAAGTCTTCGCAGAGTTGATCAATTTTTATTTTTTTGGTATCAAAATGATCTTTATAAACGTCCACACAAAAGTTATCGGTTTTGAGGGCGCAATCTTTCGAGTACGCTGAAAACGAGCCGCCGAAAGTTGGTCGCTGCGAGCGAGTTGCTTGTAAAAGTGCGATTTTTTCGATAAAATGCGATTTTTAAAAAATGTATCAGACGGATTTTGATAATTTTTTCACCATTGAAATCAGCACATTTTTCTGCGTTGAATGGCTATTCAAACATGGAAAACGGATAGAAAACGATTTTTCGCCTTATTTCGCGCGGATGTGGGCGCTACTATTAGAGGTATTACGGTAAGAGAATATGGATTATTTCATGCACATTTTGTTGCTCTTTTCCATGTGGTGTTCCTTTTGTTTTTCTTTTTCCTTTTGCATTTGTTATATTTCAACTTTTTTCTGTCATGTAATGAAATATTTATTTCTTTTTTCAAATTCGTTAAATACAAAAGCCCAAAGTCTCAAAGCCGAGTTTGCACTGGTGGAGGAGGGATTTTGCTTTCTGGAGCTTGGGGAACGGTCGGATAGGCATAATCCTCCGAAATAGAACATGCATGGGCTAAAAATGGAATAGACTAAAGTTGAATATCTACACGAAATTTCTTAAGACCAAGAATGTTCCAAACTCTCGAATTTTATGGTGTCGTTTATCTGGCAATTTCAATCTCGAAAATGAAAAGAAATGATTGAGAAAACAGTAATTTGTGACCAACCATAAAGAATCGGTTTGCTACTTCTGGTCTGCCCTAACTACCAGGTCCGTTTGGAACATCCCTGCTTATTGTTAGATATAAAACATACAACATAACTTTAGATACTCCCCTCAGCCAAACGACCCCAACCTCTTATTCCCTCTTTATGTGTCTGCTATTTGCCTAGGCTATGGCTCCTAATTTCCCCGAAGCGAAAACTCCAGAAAAACATCAGTTGCGGTCGTTTGGCTGGAGGCGGGGGTAGAGGGTATCTAAAGTCAAGCCAACATACAATGTCTAGGCAGGCTTTCTTCCTTTCGCGTTCCTCGGAAGGCTCTAATCTAAATTTTGTTTTGGGTGAATACCGTTTATCAGCATAGATACATACGCTGTTACGAAATCTAGCAAGTCGGGGCCATTTGATGCCAGACAGTGACTTAGTAACACGAGATAGAGCCTAAAAACAAAAGAATTTGGTAAAAGTCATTATGTTGCTATTGTTTCGTAATACCTGTAATCGTGATCCACTGAGTTCCGTGAACGTGAGATTCGAGGACGAGGACCTGAGAGGTGTTCCGGCTGAGTAGTTGCTTACGAGTTCTAAAATGTGCCTAATGACTTTAGTCGTAAAAGTTTACAATTATATTCGGGGGAAATTGTTGGACCTCTATTATAGCACGAGACAGAATCATAGAGGTGTCTTGGTTTTCCGCTGTGGACGTTACTTGACGAATTATCGACAACATACATCATATCCGAGTCATCAAAAACCTTCTAAAGTATGAAAGGAAAACAAATAGCTTATTGTTGGTTTGCAAGGTTTCAAAATTGGCTCATAACAATTTTTGTTGCACCCTACAATTTCCTCCTGCGGTAAATTTGATGGGTGTACGAGATCGACTTCCAATAAAGCATCAGAGAGTATCTAAAAATCTCCTATTTTTTAAACTTCCGAATTTTTGAACTTATCAATGTTGCGAGCAGGCCCGTAGCCAGGATTTCGCGACTTTCAGTCTAACGGCTCGAAATCCTCGAGGCTACCCCTAATCAATTTCCGACCAAGAAATGATATTTTTTAAAAATTTCAGACTACAAAACTCTCTAAGTTGCTTTTTGAAAAAATCTCAGAAGGTAGATGAAATTTGATTGGGGGGGGGCTAAAATGAAAAACGGTTGTTCATCTAGTTTTCGGGATTTTCACTTTTTTGAGTTTTTTCAATTTTTGATCTCGAAAACTAGATGAACAACCGTTTTTCATTTTAGCCCCCCCCAATCAAATTTCATCTACCTTCTGAAAACCATAACGTTGGTTTTGTAAAATCAATTATTGATGCCTAAAAACTCATTTTATCGAAATTTTTGCACTAAAAAGCAAAAATCTCGAGGCTTTTGAATTTTTTCAAAAAACTATTTAGACAGTTTTGTAGTCTGAAATTTTTTAAAAATATCATTTCTTGGTCGGAAATTGATTAGGGGTAGCCTCGAGGAGCTCGAGCCGTTAGACTGAAAGTCGCGAAATTCTGGCTATTGGCCTGGTTGCGAGATACAACAACTCTAAGTTCGCAAGAGAATCAAATATCATAAGAAAACGTGACGATCTCACTTTCCCATCAACAATGTGCTGCCAGTTCTTTCGACTCTCCATTAACATTAGTTCCAAATTTCCGAAATCGGGGCGTGTCAATGGTTTCTCTTTGAAACATTTCATCATAATCTAAAATTCATCCTTTTTCGAAATGAGCGGGGAAGTATCACTCTTTCGTAAATATCCTTTGGGCATTTAGACGGCCTTTCCAGCCGAGAGCCACCCTTCAAAGAAGATAGCAAAGCATTAACTTGTATGCCTTAATCAAAAATTATTTTGCCTGATTCAAAAAGTTGACCTTTATATGGAGTCGCTCCATATGAGAAAACCTCCCAGATGACTACTCCAAAAGACCAAATATCGTTTTGAAACGTTTTCACCTTTGTTTTAATTGTCTAAAAATCTATAAGTATTAAAGTTACAAAAACTGATGAAATTTTACTGACTCAATACCTCAATTGAGCACCAACGTAGCTGAAAATCTTTTGCTGAACCGATTGGCTCGTACGATCTGTGATAGTCACTAATCTAAAGTTAAGATATTGTGATATTAGGTCGGCAAGAAAGTCTTTGCACAGACTTGAGCTGGAAATCTACTAATTCAAGAACATTTTGTTCTATTATTTACAAGTCGACTTCAAGAGACCTGTAAAAAAGAGTTGAACTTTCCCTTAAAATTTTAGAGATTTTTGAAAAAGTATTATTTCCCAGCTGAGATTTCGCTCACTTTTTGCACCACAAAAACGATTCATTATGGGGTAAAACTAACATAAATGAGCAATACGCTCTACAATCTCTATTTTTGGCCAACAAATTTTTTATAAAGAAGCTGTATTTTAAAAAATTATTTTTTGGTTTCATCTTCTTGGCACTGAGTGTTTACTAAAATAGGTGATTCTGAAAAGTTAAAGCATTAGATTAAATTTCCCTTAATCACAAATTTTCCCTGTTTTAAGTACTTGATTTTAGGTTTTGAATGGGACCCATTACCTATTCATTAAAACCCATTAAAAACTTGTCTAAAGGGTAGTCACTCCAAAAAGTGACCAAGTCTTATTGGGTTGGGAGAATGTCCAAAATCAAAAATTTAAAACTTCATCGACTCGTCAAAATTGCGTTTGTATCAGTAGTGGTACAATCCTACAAAACACTTTGAATCACGGGCCTCCGCCAAGAAAGCCATTTTCACAAAAACTACAACTGTGTCTAGAAAACCATTGGTGGGTCTTCCTCATTTGCAACTAAGTATCATGTGCTCTTTTTATTCACCAAGAGGTTTTGTGAAAGACTGTTCAAATGTGGTCGGCTCTGCCATTTTCCAGCTGCGTTTGGGTTCTCTCCACGGGCTTGTGGTCTCCAAAGTGTTTTGTAGGATGTGGTCCTTTTGTGAACCAACGTATGTTTGGGCTTTTGTGTGCAAAGTCCCTTTAAAGTTTGGCGCCGACTCATTCTCCCCAATCCAATATAAGTCAGGCCAAGCTGACTGAAGAAAATTTTTATTTTTTACCTGAAGCCCACTATGAATTTCTATCAAAAATTTTTTAAAATATACATTCTGTCTCCTAAGTATAGATACCTGTTAAAAATTGCAGTTTGAATAGAAAAATCAAAGTTGTAAGATCTGAAATCTATTCAGATAGAAAGAAAACCTACCAAGGGGGTGGGACAAATGCTACCTTTTTTTGCGCACCTGGACATTTGTGCACCTTTTTTCGCTGGAAAAGACCTTAAGAAAGGCCTTAGAGCTTCAAAAATATTTTCGTATAAGAGAATCGTATGCGTAGATATAAAATTTCGACAAATCAGACCTCGCTAACACGTCAAATTTTGGCTAAAAGGCAAAAGCTGCGGAAAAGCGTTAAGTTGCGTGGTATTAGTTGTCAACTTTCGAAAGCTGCCGTAATCTCAGTTTTATTAGTTTTTTTACTTGGCGTCTTTAGCGCGTAAGCCTTTACAGTATCAGACTACCGTAAATACTGTAATTGAAGGACACCCTCCCCACACAAAATTGGTCGCCCAAAAAGTCACTACTTTTGAAAAAGAGTTTGGCTGAAAAGTGCTTAGAATGGTGTATATGGGCAGTATGTATAACGTAGAAGGATTGGCAGTAAAATTTAGAAGGATCTAAAAAAATTTTCCAAAAATACTTTTTCGAAAAAAAGTTGTAAGGAGATCTTATCATTTTCGAGAGTCCGACCTCCAGGGGCTGAAAATTTTTTTGTCTTAAACATGTTTTTTGTTCGTTTTAGAGCATTTACAATTGAGCTAGAGGGATTTTTGAAAAAAATTTTATATGCTCTCTCTAAAAAGATAGGGAAAAAATAGACGGGCGTGCCCTTCAATTACAGCATTTACGGTAGGTATATAAAATAAATTGGATAAAACCAAAGGCACGATTACCATAGCTTTCCAAAGTTGGTACGTTTTAGAAAACGACTCAGTGAGGAGTCCATCCTAAAATCTTACCTGCACCAACGGTGCAAGATCGGGATCGCCCATCAAGCAATTCGCAGCCGATAAATGTCCATGTAAAATACCACGAGAATGAAGATATTTCATTCCAGAACAAATCTCAATTTCAGATAGATCTTTGTTAAAAGCCAGTCTCGCCTGTATCAAAAGATCGACCTGCCCTCGATTCACTCCTTTTATTTGCTTTGCAAAATCTTGCAAAGTCCCATATCTTAGCCATTTTGTTACGAAAAATTCGTGCTTCCCATTTTGTAAAATCTGAATTTTGTTGCCAGTTTGTCCAACAAAAGGAATGAACCCCGTAAAACGGCAGTATATTTGAATGGCTTAATTCGACGAGTTTTTTCATTCGATTTTTCTCCCAAAGAGCAATTTTTCCGCCCTTCCGATGTTTTGTAACGATTTCGGTTCCCCGAATCTCTCGATTTTTCAAAGAACCATACCAAAACTGAATACAAGAGTTGTAGCAATGTATATGTTACGTCCGAATCTGAGGAGACGTCCATCTCCGATCCGGACGTCCGAATCTGAGGAGATTCATTCTCCCCTGAAACGGACGTCCGACTCAGAGATGGACGTCCGATTCTGAGTCGGACGTCCGTTTCGGAGGAGAATGATCATTCTTCTCGGAATCGGACGTCCGATCTTGAGAACAAATAGTTTAAGTGCAAAATCCAATGTTTGTCCAATGTGAATACATGTGTTTTGTTCAAAACATTGGATTTTGCACTTAAACTATTTGTTCTCAAGATCGGACGTCCGATTCCGAGAAGAATGATCATTCTCCTCCGAAACGGACGTCCGACTCTGAGTCGGACGTCCATTTCTGAGTCGGACGTCCGTTTCAGAGGAGAATGAATCTCCTCAGATTCGGACTTTCGGATCGGAGATGGACGTCTCCTCAGATTCGGACGTAACATATATAAGTAAAACCAACCGGCTTCTTCAGATCTTTTACATTAACCTTGATTTCATCAAGCGAAATCAGTATCCTCTTGTTTTGTCTGGGGTGTTCTATCTAAAAAATTTGACCGCTGGTCTTAAGGTGTTATATGGATCACTTGAAACACTTCCGGAAATGAAATCTGCTTGTTCGCCGCTTCAGCGTCAGCGTTGAAAAACGCTCTCCCCATAAGCGGATTTTTGTAAATGCGATCTGCAACTGGTCATTTTTGCATAACAAAATATAGAGGCACCGTATTTCTCATACTCGTTTTCATCCATAAAGCAAAAAATTCGCTCAATACACTCTTTGAAATCGGGGCGTTTCTCACGTTCAAAGAGGAAACAGCCATTTTCAACGATCTAAAGCTAGATAGATCTCAAACGGAAACAACGGACTACTGTAGTTTTTGTGGGTTGGCACGCTTTGGAAAGCGCATTAGTCGAAAATTTTAGTCAGATAGTAAGCTTGTGTACCTTTTGCCAAAAGATTTGTGGACAGTTATCAGGTCGAGTCAATCTGCCGTCATTTTGGAGGAACTCCAAAATGGTCGATGGACTTACTAAAATACTATTCAAGAAGTTTGTTTTTGTCAACACAGTAAATAGAGTGTGTTCCTCGCAAATAAGTAATGACTCGAGTAAAATTTGTATGAGGAATTTTTACTCGATTAATCGGAGGCACTAGCAAAAGCGCCAAATTATTTGTGCCACGTGCCATTTGCGCCAAATTTGCGCTTTTCAACACACTTTCCTACCAACTCTGATTGACCCATTATATTTTTTCAGTTTCTCCTCGTCGACGATGCTCGCTATTTTTCCGCCTTCACCGGATCTGAAAATGGCATAAAATCGATATAGAGAGTAAAAAGCCCAATCGGGGACACAAAAATGACTGTTTTGGGGTCTGTATAGGTATTTAAACGTGCTTTAACCTGCAAAATTCAGAATTTTGTGGCGTATCCTTTTGTTTTAATTACACCTGCGTAACGATTTGACATCGAATCGATCACATTGTCAATGGTTTGCCTTGAGATCTTAATCCATTCCTCCTCAAACGCCTTCATGAGTTCTGATGTTTTTGTGAAATTCCTGGTACGGATTTGTCGGTCCAAATGCTCCCAAAGATGCTCTAGTGGATTCAGATCAGTGCTTTGAGCTGGCCATTGAGGCACATCGACGTTTTTTTTTTGTTGGAGCCATTGCTTAACACGCCGAGCTGTATGCTTCGGATCGTTATCGTGCATGAAAGGGAAGTCGTTGGTCAAGTTGTTTCTGCCATGTGGAAGCATATGGATCTTCAAGATGTTTTCATAAGCAGCTGCATCCATAATACTATTGATTCTGACAAATGCACCAACTCCGTATCGTGAAAAACAACCTAAATTCAAATAAGCTCAGTTGATAATAAAGGTAACCAACCCCAAACGAGAACTGATCGTGTTTGTCTGTTGGAATTTGATACTTTGGATTTTTTCTTTGATTAATTGGACATCATTAGTGAAAAAGAGCACATATTTGCTTTCGTCAATCCACAATACATCACTCCAATCATCAGCCGACCAGTCTTTGTACGTCTTGTCAAATTCGAGCCGAGCCTTTACGTTCTTGTCGGCAATCAACGGCTTTCGAGATTGACGACTTCCTTTGTGTCCTTGTCTCCTAAATAGCAACATTTTATTGCTTTCTAAACCATAAAATTACTTAGCCTTAGCCGTCGCTTAACCGTCGTTTTGGAAAGCGAAACTCCATAGTTTGACTCGGCATCGCGACGTAGATCAGCTGAATTGAGGCGTGGGTTCTTCTCAAATGGTCGCACAAGTGTCCTCTCATCACGTTCATCCAGTTTAGCTGGGATTCCCTTTGTTGCTGCTCGTTTCACATTTCCGGAAACCTTCCATTTGTTATAAAGCTTGGTTACTGCTGCATGGGTGACACCGAATGTTGTGGCGACTTCTTGATGGCTCTTTCCTCGATTTACTTTAGTCACAATAAGTTCTTTATTATACCTCATCATTATCTACTCCGTCAAATTCGAACGATTAATTCGAACCCTAAAATTAAAAATGTATTGTTATTTTTGAAATTGTTCCAAACTTTTGGACCCTTAAAAAATGGGTGTTCTAAGAAAAAGCGCAAGACAAAAAGATCAAATATCAAATAAAATCAAGTAGATATTCAGAAAGTTCACAAAAAATGCGACAAAAATAGTTTTTAAAGTAACAAAATTGGATGTGTCTAACGCAAGTTACATCGAGTTGAAGTTGCCGGAAGGTGATTGTTCCAAACTTTTGGACCCTACTGTACGAGTACACGTTGAGTAAACTGGATATCTTTATATTTGACGGGAATTCGCCATCAAATCAGTTAAACGGCTGAATATCTTTAAAAGAAGTCGTATATAAGCGGGCGCTCATGATTTTTTTGCAATAATTTTCGCTAAAAGTACGGTAATTTTTCCCAAGTATGCGTTTTGAAAAACGCATTACTCGCGAGGAACACACTCTAACAGTCAACCTTTTGATATTTCTTTAACATATGGATGATGATTTCTCGTGAAAATCTCGTAAATGACCACTCCGAATGACCACATGTCGGATCCACGAGAGAAATATCCCGTGTCCAGGGTCTAAAGCAAACATTGCAGTCCATTTTTGAAAAATTTTTAGAATTAGTGAATTTAGAAAAGGGTAAAAGGAGCACTTGACGGTCATGGCGGTAATTCACCGCCAAGTCAACGAGCAACTGCCGTAAATACTGTAATTGAACGGCATGCTGTTCTATTTTTTTTCCCTCCCTCCTCTACCCTGCCGCTCTATTAGAGGGTGCCATTCTATTAGAAGGTGGCCGTTCTATTATAGCATTTACTATCAATTTTATTAGGTTGATGCAAAAGTCTTTGTCATTTTTTTCGTACTTCTGTTAAAAAGTAACAAATTCACCAATTAATCTATAGTTTGCTCTATAAAAAAAGTGTTTTTTTGTTCAATTTGCATCTTTTTAAATGAATTTCGGTTCACTTTCAAGCAAATTCGAGAGTGAAAAACGCCTTTTTCGTAAAAATCTATAAAAAACTCTACGGAAAAATTGGCTGAATGAATTTCTCTGAAATTTTGGCGAAATATCAAACGTTTTTTTTCTCTATCTTTTATCTATTGACACGAAGATAGGTTTTCTTTAGCTAAGGTGTCTAAACCGCATCATCGAGTTAGCCCTTTTTGACTACCCGACTTCATACTCTCAAGAAAATCCAGGCATTAAATATTTTTAAACCCGTTTTAATGTTATTTTGCACAAAAATAATTGCTTTTTCTAATGAAATCAACCGTAGTTTAATTCGTGCATTTGTTGGCTTGAAACGGCAGACGAAAAAAATGAAAAAGACTTTTGCATCAACCTAATAGAACTAAAACAAAAATTTGTGTCTTATGGGCACTTATTTTTAGAAACCTCAGGTGGGCACCATTGAAATGGACATTCATTTGAACGATAGTAATTCTTATCCAAGAGTTCTCTCGCTAATCCAAAATCACTGATCTAAAAATTTATCGTTCTTCACGAGCAGATTCAACTTGAAAATCAATACAACTAGCTTGTCTAGATACAGCACCTTACCCACCTTTACTAACGGATTTCCATCAACAATCGAACCAATCAAAACATTCCTTGCAGCAAGGTCTCGATGGATTATGGGCACTGGTCGAGTTTCGAGATAATCCATTCCACTTGCTATCTGAATTTATCACAAGTAAAATTTGATTCTAGCGTGTTCTTTGTTTTTAAACCTGAATAAGCACACTCCATATCTCGTAAATGCCCATCTCTTGACGCGACTTCATAAACGCTCTCAAGTCACCGTTTTCCAGAAATTCAGTCACCATACAAGGAATGTCATTATATTCAGAAATCTGAAATCTATCTTGCTAAAACATATTCTATATTCACCCCATAAAAGAGAACAATATTCGGATGATTGAGCGATTTAAGGTGTCGAGCTTCTCTCGCAAAGCTTGACTTCTCTTTTTCGGTGAGCGGATACGAGCGCACTTTTGGCTTTTTGATTGCAACGAGACTCTGGTTCCATTGGCCACAAAAGACCTAGAAGAAACAATAGTGAGCACACATAAACAGATCTAGTGATATTCTTGCTTGATTCTGGAGAGCCAACTCTGCAACCTTATTCTAAAAAATCAAGATCCCATCTACTTTTAAACTTTGACTTACCGTATTTATTCTATTAAAAGACGCCCTCTAATATAAGACTCGTCTTTTATTAGAGGGTTCCCTTAAATTTTATTTTGTGCTGTAACTACCGTAATCCTTGGTTTTTTTCTTTTGTTCTTTCTATTTTTTATCTCATTCTACCTAGTTTCACTTCTTGTAACTTTTGCTTTTAGTTTTTTATTTCCAATTTATTTATTAAATCTAGTAATTTTTTAAATTTAGGTGACCCCAATGAGTGATCGTCAAAGCAAGTTGAGCAAACTAAAGCAGAGGCGCTACGACGCGTGTTTGAAGCTGGAAGCAATCGGATATGCAAAGAAGAGCAACAATCAGGAAGCGGGACGACATTTTGACGTCAAAGAATGCCAAATTCGTGCATGGAGAAAGCAAAAAGCTAGCCTGACCAATGCAAACAAGAATTCAAAGAAATTGTCTGGTGGCGGACGTCGGTTACGATCGTGCAAACTCGACAATGCCATCTTGTAATGGGCACTCCACAAACGACGAGAGTAATAGCGTATTTCCTACAAGATGTTGCAGAATAAAGCCCGTAAATTGAAAGATCACATAGGGAAGAAGTGATCAATCATTGGCGACATTGTTGGATGACGTCGATTTGGATGAGGATGTTAACAGCTTGGATTTTCACTCAGATGCAATTCTTGTTAGAAACGAGAACTCTGGCATCTCGGATTCGTCTTCAATTTCTTCGTTAGTTTCATTTGATTTGGATCTATTAGGTTGGAAGGAAAGTTCTGGGAAAAAGGTGATTTCTCAAAAACCAAGCCAGGAATTCTTCCCAGATTTTTTGATAAACTTGACTATATTTCAAAAGTTTTTGACAAAAAAATCAGAATGGGCCTCACATAAAAAAATAAGAGATTTCTTCAGCTGAAGTGACTTAGTCACTTTTTGAGTGACCAGCCTTTAGACAAGTTTTTAATGGGTTAATGGATAGGCAATGGGTCCCATTCAAAACCTAAAATCAAGTACTTAAAACAGGGAATTTGCGATTAAGGGAAATTTTATCTAATCATTGACTTTTCAGAATCACCTATTTTAGTAAACACTCAGTGCCAAGAAGATGAAACCAAAAAATAATTTTTTGAAATACGGCTTCTTTGTAAAAGATTTGTTGGCCAAAAATAGAGATTGTAGAGCGTATTGCTCATTTATGTTAGGTTTACCCCATAAGGAATCGTTTTTGTGGTACAAAAAGTGAGCGGAATTTCAGCTGGGAAATAATACTTTTTCAAAAATCTCTAAAATTTTAAGGAAAAGTTCAACTTATTTTTTGCAAGTAATTTCTTGGGGTCGACTTGTAAATAATAGAACAAAATGTCCTTGAATTGGTGAATTCGTTTTTAGGAAATTCCAGTCAAACTTTGTCCGAGAACTTTCTTTCCAACCTAATAGAAAACGAAGGCCTTGGGGATGATATCAACAAAGAAAATTTAGATGAAAGCATTTTGCAACTTAAATTGAACAATGTTGCTTTTTTGCTTGTTTTGTTGTAACAAATTTACTGTTGTTTTTTTACAATGATCTGGATGCGTCTTTTATTATTTTTCATTAATTCCTGCTTAGGTACCAAAGTAGTTAATTGAATAAATTTGTTACTTACATACCTTTATTGAAATATTGGTTTCAAAACCTTTTGTTACTAGGTTTTGTAACCAATATTTCAATAAAGGTATGTAAGTAACAAATTTATTCAATTAACTACTTTGGTACCTAAGCACGAATTAATGAAATAATAATAAAAGACGCATCTAGAACTCAATCAAAAAAATAAAAGACGTGTCTTTTGTTAGGATAATTACGGTAACTTAGTTATAAGTCTAACATTAAGAATCTTATCAAATTAGCAGCACTTCTCCATAATGTCCTTCATTTTCCTTCTTCATGATGCTCAAGTGTTCATATTTGATTCTCCACAGTTGACCGAGATCCGGTCGCATCTCTTGATTCCATGTCGACACTTGAACCGGTAAAGTCAAAATATTCGATTGCCCGATCTCTTTTGGTAAAGGCGCTAAAATTGCCAATTATCAATCAACTACTAAACAAACCATTTTGATAAAAGTTTAGCAAGTGTTCGACCGTTTCAAACCATTCACCCTCTTTAAGAAAATAGTGCAATTTCCATTCGGGTCCCTTTTTTACATGGATTTTCCAATAGTCAACATGTTTGTCACTTGATCTGGAAGTTTTGAAATTATAAATTGATCCAGTTTTTAGTCACTTTGTGCTCAAAATGAAGCCATCACAGCGTTGCGATCGTCCAACAAGAAAGGCTCCGTTGGGAAGATTTTTTCGGCTCAATAAGCAAATTTTTGTCTCAACTCGCTCGATCGGGTGAAACCATCTGTACTCAGAAAGACGCAACTTTTTTAAAAGTTTGGGTACTTATCCCTTATCCCGGTCCACTTTTTTTCAACGAAAAACAATTTATTTCAACATTTTAAACAATAAAAAACAATATTCAAATCATTTAAGTATGGAGAAATATCTATTTTAGACTCAGGACGTGACTGGAGGCCGGTATTCTTCGATTGCTTGTAGAATAGCTTCGAAGGGGTCTTCTTTGCCGATGTATTCTCGCCACATGAATTGGGCCAAATACGATTTGAGATGATAACGAGCAGTTCCGCGTTCTTGTTGCGCCATTTCGCCGATCCCCACATTCTCTCGAATGTTTGCGTGTGCACATCTGGATCGTCCGGGTTCAAGAAATTGTGCTTGTGATTGACTTGGAAATGCGCGAAGTTCTAAAAGTTCTAAAGTTTAATGTTCTAGTTCTAAAGTTTAAAGTTCTAAAAAAACAAATGTCTCCATCGTAAAAATGAATAAAAAAAATATTCGATGCATGAAATGTTGAAATAAATTGTTTTTCGTTGAAAAAAAGTGGACCGAAACGACAAGGTTACGATAGTTTTTGAAAGTTGACACTATTTAGAAAACGATATTAGTTGGGAGAAACAACTCTAATCTTAACCTCTCATCCAAATCTCGAGTCAAAACGGCCTTGATGCATTTTGTGTGGACAAAGCCTTCGTTTTTCGTTTTCATATGAACACCTTTGCACCAATTCTCATCGCTGAAATACAGTGGTGAAAAAAGTATTGAGCTGGGGCCTCAATACTTTTTTTTTTTAAAGTAGTAGTTTTTTTAAGACTGTTTTTACTTTCTGCTTCAAAAAAAGTTTCTATCGAAAGCTTTTTGAATCCGTTCTAAATTTCTAGAAACGAAAAACTAAGCTTCGTAATGTTATAAAAACTTTTGAATTGAAAAGTTGATTTAACGAGATACTATTTTCTAATATTGGGTTGGGGAGAATGAGTCGGCGCCGAAAATGAAAAAAATGTCTAAAACTTCAATTCGACTTCGTCAAATAATATGCGTTTGATACTCATAGAATGGTTAACTAATTCTCTACAAAATCACATTTAAAAGAAAATTCAAACAGCGCCTCCGCTCAAGAAAAAGCCATTTTTTCACAAAAACTACAAACTGTGATCTAGAAAAAACCATTGGTGGGATCTTCCTGCAAATTTGGCAACTTAAGTAATTCAATGTGCTCTATCTTTTTTATATAAACACCAAAGAAGGTTTATGTGAAAGAAACTGTTCAAATGATGAGTCGGACTCTTTGCCATTTTGACCAGCTGCGTTTGGAAGTTCATAAACTCCACGAAAGAAAAGCTTTGTGGAATCTCTCAAAAGTGATTTTGTAGAGAAATAGTGGATCCTTTTGATGAAACCAAACGTATGTTTAAAGAAGGCTTTATGTGTGCAAAAAGTCCCTTTAAAGTTTGGCGCCGACTCATTCTCCCCAACCCAATACTATTTTCTTTAGTGATGGTTCACGAATGGGAGATCGACGCGCCGACAAAGGAGCACATCGTTTGAGCCCGACAAATGGGGACCAAAAAGAAGATGGTGAAAAGTCTGTTTCAAGTCTCAAATGCAACGAATGTAGCGGCTATGAAAACAATTCCGTGAGGAGGGAAACGTGCACAGGAAGTGGCCGCCTATCAAAAACTACAGAGCAACAGGATTGAATCCTCTAGGAGCTTCACGTTTTGACGCCGACACTCACTGCCACCGATGGAAAGAAGTTTCTAAAGCGCAGGTTGAACGTCAATCTAACAACGAGAACAGTGAGGAATCGACTTAAAACGTTTGGATTGTACCCGAGAAGGCCGGCACAAAAGCCGTTAATGATTCAACGGCACCGAATGGCTCATCTACAATTCGCTTTGGAGCATCAACACTGGACAATTGAGACCTGGAAGCACATGCTTTTCAGTGACGAAAAAAAATCCAATATTTTCAACTCAAATGGCTTCTATGTAATCAAAAGATCGATTGAGGCATGATACAAGTTGAGGTGCACCATTCCGACCGTGAAATTTAATGGAGGGACATAATATTTTGGTGATGTTTCTCATCTCAGTCGATCGGGTCTCGTTCTTATCGACGGAATTATGGATGGACTCAAATGTGCTGAAATATTAACGGAATCAATGCTCTCTCACGCTAGCAAAAATATGGGTCCGGCGTGGCTCTTTCAACAAGACAACGACCCAAAATACACAAGCGGTTTGATAATGAACCGAAAAGCGAAGATATCAAATCGTCACTTTGTTCGTCTTCCGGGCTGGCTTTGCATCAATAGCATTTGTCTGCTGAAAACTTCGCCATATTTTCCTGATTGCAACCCTATTGAGCACTTATGGGCCCACATGAAACGAAATTTTTTTCTCATGGAAGGATCTTTGGAATAAAGTGCAAGAGATTTGGAATGGAATTCCAATGTCTACTCTCAACGAATTAATCGAAAGTATGCCGAGATGAATGGAAGCAATCATTAAAACCCAAGGTGACTCAACAAAATATTGAATTCTTCTTTTTTTCGATAAGAGCTCAATACTTTTTTCCGCCGCTTTTTGCAAATATTGTGTACATATGTTTTTTTCTTGTTAAATCAACTTTTCAATTCAAAAGTTCTTAAAACATTACGAAGCTTAGTTTTTCTAGTTTTTAGAAATTTAGAACGTGTTCAAAAAGCTTTCGATAGGAACTTTTTTTGAAGCAAAAAGTAAAAATAGTCTGGGGGCTCAATACTTTTTTCCACCACTGTAGAATGGACATCAAATTGCAAAATTTGCTCAACAACATCACACTACCGTTCTTCGGTCAATTGAATCAGATCATCGATTTCAAGGTGCAACAAGCGATGTTCCAAAATCTCTGATACTTCTTTGTCAAAGTCAGCAATCACCTTGACGACTGAAAAAATATTCGTACGTAATATTGGCCGATTAACGATTTAAAAGTCACTTTACGATATTGATTTCAACTCCTTTATTTCTATGAATTAATGTAATCCCTTAGAATTTAGAAACTCGTAACCTTGGCGGAAACTTCTCGAGGAAGATGATGACGGTGAAGATGTAAACATTATGAATAAGTGATCAATTGAAAATCTCAAAATGAGAAATCTCTGCACAATCTGAGCGGCTATTTTTTCAGCTATTTTCTTATCAATTTTACGCCTCGATTTTTGCGGCGAGGTGTGGCTTTTCGAGCATGACTTCGCGCCCGATTCGACATTCAGTTCTAGAAATTTCTTCGGGGAAAAACGCTAAATTTTGAATCATTATCAGAGAAGAGTTACGCATTTATAGTCAAGAAACTTTTATTTGTCATCTTTTGTCAGTAAAATGTTTCGGCGAAGAAACCAAAAATTATTTTGATTTCATAATTTGAGCCTTTGATTCTTGTTTAGATTTCAAAGAAACTATTGAGTTGGGGAGTATGAAATTACGCGGACTTTCAAAGAAACTTCAATAACATTGAGTAGTCTTTATCAAATGGCAATAAGATTAGAAAGGTCACCTACAGTAACTTTAGAGGTGTTATTTACCGTAGAAAATGCCTACTTCTAACAGGTGTTTTTTAAAATTTATGCGTAAGTAAACAATTCAAAGAAACTACCCGAGCAATCTTCTAATCTTGAGTACTTGAAGTCTCACTGAAAATGCTGTGTTTACAGTGAATTTTGTTTTAATTCAAATTTAGATAGAATTTCAAAATCCAACTGGAGTTAGGATTAGGATTTCGGACATAAACACGTTTAAACTTTGTCTTTTTTAACGTTATCTGTCATTATATTTTAAGCGGACATCTTTTGAACTTTGAGAATTTTCGAATTTCACAACCCCTTATCATCATCACCACCACCACCATCATAGCACTATCAATTGCCCTCAACTGCCAAAGTTTACATTTTCAAGAAACTCTGAGCGAATAAGGTCAAACACTCAGCAAGGTTATTTACCAGAAACGGACACTGGCTACAGGTGTTTTTTTATGATTTTCGATCATTTCAACAATTCAAAGAAACGCAAAACTATCCGACTAGTCTACTGGTTTTGAGTGCTTTCTTTACTGAATATCTTTTCCTTGAAGCAAAGATATTCAGACTGAAATCCAGTCGCTGAATACTTGATCCCGGTCTACTGTAAAAATCTTCTCTTCTGAATCTCAATCAAAACTCATTTCCTATAAATTTTCTAAAAAGTAGAAATGTTATTTGATGCATACTGTAATTTTACAGTATCCCCTTCTCACAAAATTCTCAATTTCCCCTATAAATACTTTCACAATATCTTTTGTTTTCCCAGAAACAAACAGGTGCATCTAATTTTGAATGATTCTCGAAAACCATGCTTACTTTTGAGTATTTCTGAGAATTTTCTTTTCACCCAAAAGTTCTTCGGATCATATTAGATTTTCTCGGAGAATCATTTATTCTTTTTTTCTCTTTCGTACCTGAAACAGTTATTTTTGTTCGATTACACGTAATTTCGATCAGAAAAAGATGGCAATTAGGTTTCAATTTAGAAAGGACACGGAACAAGGGCTCAGAGCACAAATTTCTTCAACGAATCGAATCTAAGCATGGTGTTTGATGAGTTTTTGGAAATTTATTGATTTTTATTCAGTTCTGTAAATCTCGCGTCTTTTTCTCATTCCATTAGAGCTGAAACTTTTTGCTTAAACTGGAGGATTTGCAAGTTATTCTTTCTTTTCGGTATCTCCAATTTAGCCTTTCATCAATTGCTCAAATCTATTAGGTTGTTCGGATACAAACAAGCGTTGCTAAACTTATTGTTGTGAGAGAAGCTTTTAAAACATGTCTTTCTGTATTTAAAAAGTACGTTATCCTGTGTATATTTGGAATCTTTTTTTCTTGCTTTAGATGATCGACTTCAAATATCAAGTTCGCGTTTGCCTACTTTACGATTTCAAACTGGGCAAAACAGTACCGGAATCCCATTGAGATTTGGTCAAAGCATTTGGGAATGATGTGTTGTTCGAAAGCCGATGCCGAGCCTGGTTCCAACGCTTTCGGAATGATGATGAAAGTCTCGAGGATGATGAAGACTCTGGTCGACCTCAAGCGGTAGACAACGATACTTTGAGGGCTGCAATCGAAACGGATCCATGTCAAACGACGCGTGAACTTGCTCAACAGTTTCTATGTTCAAATTCTACTATTGATGAGCATCTCCACGCCATTGGAAAGACGATCTGATGCGGGAAATGGCTTCCTCACGAGTTAAGCAGTGCAAACGCTCGTTTATATCCGAACAACCTAATATTTACTTTTCTTATTTCTATAATAATCTTATATTCGTATTACTGTTAAAAACCATAAACACAGTTGATTTTATCTTTTTTTTTCTATCTTTTGTCCCATTATAATATGACAGATGAAAAAAGGAAAAATTTTCTTAAGGATAAAGATTTTTTTTTATTCCTTTCCTCTCTTCTAATAATTTTTTTTATTTTATATAAATTCCTTCCTTCTCGTTCTTCTCCTTCTTCTTTTCCTCCCTCCTTTTTATTTTTTTTTCCCTTTTTGTCCCCTTAAAAAGTTCCTCCCAAAAATGGAAAACCCCAATATTTTAAACCCAAAAAAAAAGGGAATTAAAAAGCCCCGAAAGTGACGATCGTTTTTCAAATATCATATTTCATTGTTCAGTACTGTATCTAGTCAACTTATCTAGTCACTCTATCTAGTCATTCCGGTGTATCGTAGTAAAACAGACTACAGTAAAACGTTTGTACTTTTCAGTACCTATCCTTTCCATTTTAATCAAGTTTCTTTTCAAAAGTGACTTGTTTTTAAGCTAAAGCTTTTTAAGCTTTTGAAGCTAAACCTAAACTTGATCGTCAATCCTTTTTCAGCTCAAAACAACTCAAGCAAATGAAATTTTATTTGAATCTAATAACTTTTACCTTTTTGAAATACGAAAAATTTCACATGAGAGTAAAGAAGAAACATTTTCGTCACTAAAATTCAATCTAACGGCGAATCAGTGTTGATCAAATAAAGCAACTCAACTGACTAATGTTTTATTGCACGAGAATCAAAGATTAGAGATTCTCTTGAGATTTAATCATTCGTATTTATTTGATTATTTGGTTGGCAAACAAATCTTTTTGCGATTTTTCAGAATCTCTAAAATGAATAGGTAACAAAACGCACTTTTATGATTTTCTAATAAAAAGTTATATAATAATCAGCTTTTCAATCAAGGAAACTCAATTTTTTTGAGTATTTTCAATCAAAAACTGATTCCAAAAGAAATAAAAAGCCTTTAGACTTGAAATTGTTTGCAAAATACAGTAGAAATAGTGAAAGTGAAATTTTGAAGAAATTCTTTTGATAAATTCCGAGTCAAAAAAACGTAAACTTAGAAAAAATCGAATTTAACTCAATGCTTTTCACATAACGAAACCATTTCTTCCATTTCAACTTCCCAAAAGTTCCAAAAAAAAGTTAATCATAAAATGTAAAAGCTGAGATTTCTAAGATAATATTTCCAAGAACTTCTTCCAAAATGATTACTTTTCAAATAGCTTTTACTTTTTTAACAAATTCCTGAATTGTATAGACAATTTGATCCATGATTACCTATTAAATAACAAATCTCTTTTTTTACTGAATCTTTCTGCAAACTCGTTCCTTGTGCTGGGTACAAGAAAATTCCCACAAAAATTCTCCCGTGACTCTTTTTCTCTTTTTGAGTCTCTTTTTTGAGTACTTTTCGGTTATAACCTAGTCATCTCCAAATTTCGGTTATACCCCGCCAATCCAAAATTTTAAAAAACGGTACTATGCGGTTAGCGCTGTTTTTCAATCAATGCGTGTATCTGTGAATTTAGCCTAGCCTGATGTCAGTTTGGCAAAGGTTTTTGACGTTAAAGCCCTCTGCCCAAGTGACATCAAGCTAGGCTAAATTCACAAAAGTCTGGGTGAATTTAGCCTAGCTTGATGTCACTTGGGCAGAGGTCTTTAACGCCGGTAACCTGCAAATAATCGATCTGGGTGATAAATTTCAAAATCTTGTCAACGAGCATCTCGGTTCTCCGATTAGCCACTTCAGCAAGGAAACATTTGTTTGAGTGGCTCGGGAGTATAACCGAAAAGTACCCTGTAGTTCTAAGTTCTAAAGTTCTAAGTTCTAAGTTCTAAAGTTAGTTCTAAACTATAAAGATACTCTGGACCAAGAAATATTCATTTAAAAAGACAATACGTAGATCTGTTTGAATGCGTTCTTTAAACCCATTGTTCTCCAATTCAAAAAGATCCCCTCAAAACGATCCCCAATAATTATCCCCTTTTCACTTCCAAAAGCAATTTCTTCAAAAATCTTGTTTTTTTTTCTTTCATCAAATTCTCTAGATTATTTTCAAGTGTAAAAGTTTACAAATTGAACTAAATGAATGCTGATTATTGTTTTGAATTCCTCTAAACGCTCACCTCCTAGTAAACACCATTTCACTGTCTTCTGCTTCTATTGGATTGGTGAATTGAGAACTGCCGGCTATTGTCATATGTGACAGTTTGAGCACTTTCTCCAAAAGAAACCCATTTTGGTGTCAATGGAAAACTTGTAGAGAATCGAAAATCAAGCTTATATCCAAATTTTCAGAACGATTCAAAAACTGGTTTTCAAGAAATGCCAAATTTACGAATTTTCACAAAACTTGCATTTTAAACGAAACTACTAAGTGTATCTTTTTGGAAATTTGGCTATAAGCCTCATTTTTGATTCTCTACAACTGTTTTATTGACACCAAAATGGGTTTCTTTTGAAGAAAGTGCTCAAAATGGGACATCTCCAGTCCTCCATTTTTGAGTCTCACACTTGTCTCGCACACAAACCAAAATCCTACTACGAAAGAGGAATCCGCAAATTGCCTGTAAAATGGGCAGAAGTCGTCAACAATAATGGAGATTATTTCGAATGAATTCATGGTTTTATGTTCAAATAAATTTTAGTTCAAAGTCCAGCAGTTTTCAATTCACCAACCTAATAGAATGTTTGATTCAATTTCAGAACAATTTCAAACGTTAATCAAGGCTTCTCTGATTGTTTCTGAGTAACTCTAAAAAATTGAATTCAAATCCAGATCATTTCTTTTATTAGATAACTCTTTGAAGTTAGAAATCGATTCTTACTTCTTCATTTTTTATGAGCAAAAAGTTTCCATGTTGGTCAAACCAATAAAAACAATCTTACATAATAGATGCAAGAAATTCGATAGGCTAGAATGTTTGCGGAGAACAAGTGTCCATCAACAACTAGCCTCTATCTTAATGGGTTTCTTTTGAAGAAAGTGCTCAAACCTCGAACTGGGGCATCTCCAATCCTCGATTTTTGAGTCTCACACTTGTCTCACACACAAACCAAAATCCTACGAAGAAAGAGGAATCCGCAAATTGCCTGTAAAATGAGCAGAAGTCGTCAATAATTATGGAAATTATTTGGAATGAATTCATGGTTTTATGTTCAAATTTTAGTTCAAAGTCCGGCAGTTTTCAATTCACCAACCCAATACTTTACCACACTCTCTGTATAAGTCTCAGAAATTTTGGTTCTTTTGCAAATCCTTCTAAACTCTCACCTCTTTGCATACTGATTTTCCTTTTATTTTCAGATGTATGAAATCACCGATTTCCGCGTCGATTTCTACCAAATTGTGCATATTTCGAGCGATTTTTTCTCTTGTCTCTTCAACGGTTTTCTCATTTTTTTAATTCTGACGAAAACTTCGAAATCCTTTCGAAGTTATGCTGTTTTATTGTTCAGGTATGAAATTTGGAAATATTTTTACTTCAAATTCCTCTTTCAGTATCGCTATTTCCGAGTTGATTGTCGGGATCTCTTGTGAGCTCTCGATGACAAGGTTCGAAAGAGAAAAGAAACTTTGAAATTAAACTATTATAGTGATTACCGTACTTAGGTATCCTAATAAGTATTGTTGTCTATTTTCCGTCCTCTCTAAAGTATTCTTTTTCACAACCTAGCTACAGTACCCCGAATTCCCAAGAGTAGCTACGGTAGTCACTGTAAAGCTCACTACAGTACACAGACTTTAAAAAAAACTCTGTTATCTAGACGAAAGTTTCGAAATTTTAGAATCATTCCCATCAAGCACAGTCTCACTTTTGAATTCCGCGGATTATGCCGTCATTTTGGCTCTTTCGCTTGTCTAACTGGTGGGTAGACATAAGCTTTTTGTAGAAAACGAGTCAGTTCTTCAGCAAAACAGTCAGCAAACAGCTCTTGTTTTCTAAAACGTGAATACAATGCTATTTCAAGCTTTAAAAAACAAAAGCTAAATCTCAAGCCACCAGGAATGTTCCAACCGGGTCTTAGAGCTTGTAAGCCACGCCATCTAGCTAGAAATTGGTTTAGGTTTAAAGCTAATTCCACTGGTTAGATCAGTTTTGTTCAGAGCTGTTTTTATAAACAATCCTGGTTTTAGCAATCCTTCAAAGGCCGGGCTAGAGTCAGAGTTTCACGTTTTAGCAAACGGCTCTTGTTTTCTAAAACGTGAATACAATGCTATTTCAAGCTTTAAAAAAACAAAAGCTATTTGTTAAGACGTGGGATTGACTCGTTTTCTACAAAAGGTCCATTTGTACTGGTGAGTGAGAATGATTGGGAAAAGATGAAAAGAAAGAAAGAATTTGAACAGAGGATGTCTTTTCTAAAAGGCACCTAGAAAAATACCGTATTTAAGTCGTAAGTTTTTATTCAATTAGCCATTGCTTTTTGTGTTCACTGAGCACGACAATATGAGCAAATAGTTCAAATTTTAATTAACAAATTTAATTGTAATTTTTACGCGTAAAAGTCACCTGTTCTTTTTCTTTTGAGCTTTTGATTTCGTTGCTTCGAATTCGTCTGTCAAAATTAGTAAATCCGTAGCAAAGTAAAGTTTAAGAAAGTCTACAAAATTACTGGACAAATTTTGGAATGTAATTGTACGCGTAAAAGTCATTGGTCGATTTCAGTGAATGGTTTAAAAGACTTTAAAAGAAAGGAGGTTTAAAAGTTTTTTGTTTAAAAGACTCAAAATGTGAAAGTAGAACACTTTTCAGAGACGTTTTCGTTTTCCCTCATTCATTAATGAATTACCATTCATGAATGGACATCCCTCATTCATTAATGGTAATTCATTAATGAGTGAGGTGCTCTGAAAAGTGTTCTACTTTCACATTTTGAGTCTTTTAAACCAAGTTACTCTCTCAAAAGCTCATCGTTGAACACTTTTCGGAGCAAAATCCCCTAACCCTTCACTCATCCGATCAGCTTTGAATTCGTGTTTTTATGTAAACGTAAAAGCACCCCTTCTGGCGCACTGAATTCTTCACTTTTCCACTGATAGAAAGCTCGTTTTCGCACGAAAAATCAAGAAACAAGTGCAGGATGCGTTTACTTAATTGAGCACAAAGTACACAAAGAAGAGCAAATCTTCTTGTCAGAGAATGGGTCAAAAAAAAGATCATTTCCAGCACACGCTATCTCAATCCACAGCACTTCTTTTGTCTACTCGGTTTACCCATTTCTATTCTGGTCAGTTTTCAGAAATAAACTTTTGATAAAAACAAAATTATTGCCTTGGCATTTCCAAGAATTTTTCCGGCATAATCATTGCTTTCGCTTTTGTCTCTAATCAAAGTTCTATAAAGCCAAAAAAAAATCACTTTTCAAATCAAAAAACGTGGTGAATTGTTTTAAAATAAACTTTTAAACAAAACAAACATGAAATCTGAATCAAAAAACAAGACCTCCAGGTACAAAGCATTACAGGTTCCGTTACCAAGTGCTCCATCATCCACCGCGGAATCCTTTCCGTATCGCCGTCGCTTGTCTTCTCATCTACGCCCCAGCTTTCTTCACTTTAGTAATACAAAAAATAAAATTTAATCAAAAATCGATATTCAGCTATTATTTCTCAGCAATCCGGCCCCAGAAATCAAGGTTTTGGAAATTTGGCGACAAGCGAATTTCTCGATGTCGACCACGGATCGCTCAAGAATCGCCATCGGTGGCTTCGAGACGGTTTTCGATTATCGGTGATTTTAATGTTTTTTTTAATAAACCAAATTTCATTTCAGTGTGATCTGTTTAACCCTTTGGACAACCTGTCCCGTCTTTCCCTGTTATGCAATGTCGATTTATTTTCGACGAAAATTTCTCATCGACATTCGGCGAACGGCGATGTGCGAGAAAACCCGGAAAGCACAAGCGAAAATCGTTCGGGTTTGTTGAAGACAAAACCTGTTTTGAATATGAAACTAATCGGAAATCTTGTACATAGTTAAATTTTTTAAAAAAACTTATCAAACTGTTTACCTCATCATTCCAGAGTTTGACCATTCAATCGATTTTCCCAATTTTCCCAATGACAATGGCCGCCGCGTACAACTACAAGCAATTCATGCTACCGTAAGTCTGTTCAAGAAAAGAAGCAAGATTACGATAGCTTCCGGAAGTTGACACGTTTTAAGAAACACATTATCGGAAAGAATTGCTTCCATCTCAAAATTTCAGTTACTACGAATACGTTCCATACTACGATGAATGGCCAATGTTGAGTGTGACAATCACGAGCTGTTTGAGTCCTCTTCTAACAATGTTCTACATCCAACCATATCGAAGAGCCATCCTTGGATGGATAATTTTCTGGCCGCGGAAAAATCGGATTCCAAAACGTCGCCCAACTGTTTACACACTCGAGCACCATCCGAGTAAAATCCCTGTAATTGTGATCGACAAAAGCGAGCTCTCTATTCGCTACCAATGACCTCGAAATGTGCCTGTACATAAATGCTATTTTAATGAGGAAATTTATTCTAAAAACGCAAAGCAAACAAACTTGGGTAGCTTAAAATTGATAAAATCTTAACAAACATCGAAAACCGTATCTGAGAAAAACGCACACAGAGGATAGATTTACCCGCGTTAAATGACTGAAGATCCTTTTAAAAATCGGGCTTGACACTCAACGAGGAGATTGGTCGCTCAACGATGTTCCCGAAGTGCTTTCGAATATTCTTCACCTTCGATGGATGGATTGTCACGGCCCGAGAATAACTAAAAGATGCTTCCATTGTGCAACGATGCAATCAACTTCGCTAAAATTTAAAAACTGTAAAACCTACTCCTTGAACAACTTTGAAATGATTGGCCCTCCAATATCAAGCACATCCTTCACTGAAGCATCCCAGATCTTTGCGCAAAGGTCACTAAAATGTTCATAAATTATCAATTACCACTGAAAACCATACTTGATAAACTTTGCATCGCCAGTTCCACGGAATTGCCCGAGAATCCGTTCGCGTGCCGAATTCGAAATACCATCTTCTTTCTGGATCAACTCAAAAATTAGCGATCGCTTTGCCGCTTCGAACTCGTTCTTGTCCAACTTCCCAGCAGCGATGGCTCCCTCCTAAAAATACAGATCTATGACATGTTTTCAGAATAATATAGGGTTTAGTTTGTTCCCACAAACACTTACCACAACTTCCTTGGTTCGTTCATAGGCCTTAACGGGATCTGCACATCGGTAAAGTGACAGTGTAACTGTTTTACGATCAGGCTTTGTGTAGATGTTAGCACCATAGGCTAGACCGTCTCCACGCACAGCTCTCCAAAGTGGTCCTAAACATTTAAAGATTAGCAACTACCAAACTACGCTAACCTTCTGTTTGGCTGAGATATTGCGTCAACAACATAATCGGGACAAGTTCGGGGCTTAGCCAGTCAACACCAGTCACAGCAGTCTAAATTTCGTTATGCCCAAAATGCTAAATAATACAAACTTACTTGGTAGATAAAGCTACTTTCACTGCCACCAACTCCAATCACAACATTGCGCTCCTCTGGTTGTTTACCACAAATAACTGATTCACCCATTGGAACCTAAAAAGAGAATTTCGGTAGTTCAACTTAAAGTAGATACCTTGAAAAAGCTGGCATTATCCTTCTTAAATGACTCCCAAATTGGCAGATTTGGTGTTTTTAGAGTGCTCGTGTCGCCCACAAGATGAATATTTACACCGCCATCCAAAAGGACTGATCGAAGCTGAACTGATTTAATTTAACATGTTTAGCAATCAAAGCATGCCTCGCTCAACTTGCTGGCAACAAGATCTGGATTGGAATCACAGAGTTCAACGACGCGTTCGTGGAACTTTTCCAATACAATCGTGTCGTACAAAGATGTGGTAGACCCTAAACTCGAGTACTTTTAAATGTTTCGGATATATTATTAACCTTTCTCGTAGCAAAGACTGGCAATCAGCGAAGACGCTACCTCAACTCCATCCCGTTTGCTCTCTCTTAAAAGTTTATTGGTTAATAGCCGGCAACAAATGAATCTTACCGTGCAAGGGAAGCCAATCTTTGAGCAATCATCTTGATCCTGAAAGAAAACGTAAACACAAATTTCTCAACACTCACCTCTTTGCGTCATAATGGATTCCCTTTGTGAAGATCTCTCCCCATTTTGCCAAGTTCGAGAAGCGCGCCGAATCAACCTGAGAAGATGTTTAAGGAGCTATTATAAAAAGTCCACCTTTAAATTAAGCGTAACCAAACGATCGTAATATCCGCCAATGCCCATCGATACTGAATGTCCCACAAGATCTTTTGTGAACATCTTGGCCACATCCTCAGCCGACCACAATTGACCTAAATAAATAATGCAATTACAAGATTGAAATTTAAACCCATTAGTGTTTTTTTCCTGAAAGTTGAATCAGATAAAAAAGGTTTTACCATCAACATAAGCAGGAGAGTCGAACATCAACTCGGTGAATAACATCAGCCTGAAATTATCTGTTAGTAAAAAAGTAAATAAAAACAACGAGCTATTAATTAATAACCCTAACACATGCACAACTATTATCATTCAAAAACAAATATCACAAACACAATAATATGCAGGGTTATAGATAATATAGTCAACAAAAAAACCTTTTTGCATCCTTGGCATCCCGGACTCGGGAACGTAATCGGTGACCGAACGAGATAGAAAAACGAATACCACCAAACATCTTACCACGGTTTTTCGCAACTTCTCTTGCTTAGCCCTCAAATCGCTGATGCTGGCCTTGACGGAAATCTCAAACCATTTTTGCATTTCGCCGTCGAGCTCATCAGGGATTTCCTTCAATTTTCGGTTGGCACGGTACCCATTTGATTTCCTCTTAGAAAGAAGAGAGTCCACGTCCACGCTAGTGGAAGGGCGCCGTAAGAATTGCTCATGAAGTCGATGAAGCAGAAATTTCCCGTATGATCGGTCACCAAGGACAACTCCCCCAGCTTACTCAGAGTGGAAAACGGATTGCCGCTCTTCAAGGGGGTTGAATTGATGATTAAATCGAAGATTGAAGATTTACTCCATATGTGCGTGAGCATCGGGAGAAAAGTTGAAAAAAAACTCGGCCCTTCGCAGCTTCCGCGAAGATGTGTAATTCATTCTGTTTTTTTTGATCTTGAACGATGACACATTGTCGTTGAACGTTTCACAATTCAAGCACAACTTCAGCCCAATGCTTGGCAAGTTTTGCGTCTGGGAATTTGTCGTTGTCGACGTCGCTCTTTCCACAGTACCAGATCGTCTAATCTTTGACCTTCTTGGGAAATCCTTTGGTTGGAAGGGGGAAATTGCGTGGGCTCTTGCGGCGTGCTTCTCGGCCTTTTGTGCTCTCTGTGCTTTTAATCGGCGATTATTTTCCGCCTCCAGTTCGGTGATCCTCTCCATCAACTTTTCGATCGTCTTATCCTTCTCGGCGATGATCTTTTCGCACTCGAAATGAAGAGAAGTCGATGGGCGATCGGTGAACGACATCTCAATTCTTTGCTTCTCGATTGGGGATCTTCCTCGTTGTCGGAGAACAAGTCGACCGAGCAGTTCATCGCCCAAAGCAACAGTAAACACCTAGCCTTAGACTATTCTTAGAATCAGATATCAAAAAGATGCAATAGCCACGTAATGAAAGAGTCAGTCAAGAGCATTTATTGACGCATAAAAGATTAGACGACGGACAAAGAGCAAGAAATAACAGACAAGTGACAGTTGTGCATGTGCTAATCTCATACATATAATTCATCCAATAACACCCACCACTTCTTTTGTTCATCTGATAGCTTGAGCGTATCAAGCAGAAGATACATCTGAAAACTCATTGAATCGGTTTTTTCTGATCAAAACCTGGAAAAATTTCGATTCTGTCAAGTGGAGCATAGTCGCGAGCGGGAATTTCTCGAGGTCGCCTTTTTGTGTTTCTTTTGACACTTCCTAAACAATGATTGGATTACAGACTTTTTTTGAACTAACCAATGAATCAATCTTGAATCGAGCAAACTTCTCGAGCTGTTGAACAATTAGTTCATCCAATAAAACTTGTGGTGGCTTCGACTCCTTAAATTAAGCAAAGCAGGATTATTTACCTTAATAAGGCAAGTACCGTGTTCTTTTTAGTCGCATCATTGAGATCCTTTTCTTTCTGTTTGAGCCCATCACTGCCAAGTTTCTTCTTTTGTTCATCAATTCGTTGCGTTTCTTTATCAGCGATCTAAAACGCTCCCAATTTAGTTGACTTGGCAAAAACACAACCTCATCGACCAATTTCTCATCGGGAAGACCACCAACAAGAACATACGGCTGGCTCAGATGCTTCTTCCACAGGTTAACCCAAAAGCTGGCATCTTCTTTCTTCAAGCGGCGCAAAGTTGCAATCTAAATTATCCATAGAAAAATTAAATTTGCTTGATTAATATAGTTAATAGTTTAATTTTTTACCTCATCCAAACGCTTCAACAGCAAATCATCTCGATTTTCACCGTACAGTTGATGGCCGATCAAATGACCAAAGATCGCGTCATGCGGCTTATTTTCCGCCTAAAAATTGATCAATTTCTGGGCACACCCAAAATAAACCTTAGCCAAAGTTGAGAGAATGTGTTGTTCAATAATATCGTTCATCCTCGGCAAATCGAAAGCATCATCAACCAAATGGTCATTGTACGTTTTGTCAAAGAATCTAAATTTATGTTTTACTACCAGTTAAAATAACCTTACTTCTTTGCAACTTCTCTGATTTTATTGCTGGGGACGTTTTGGAAGGAAAGTGTGATCACACAAGACTTCTAAATAAAAATTTGAAGCGTTTATTTGGATAAAAAAACTTGTTCATTAACAGAGAAGGTAGCATTGGAAGCAAATGGGTCCGAGATGAGAACAAAATCTAAAAAATATTTGAAAGATATGCTAAATCCACGGTTACCTTTCTGCAATGGCGATACGGCCGTATTCTCCATATAATCAAACAAGATATGAAGAGCTGTAACAACCTCGTGTTCATCAGAATTCGGTCCGAACCTAAAGCTCATTGATTAAATTAATCAGTCGGTTCTTTAAATTATCATTTTTTCTTGTCAAGCGTTATTAGTTTAATATTTTGGCAAACAATTAAGAAGCAAAACTTTACCAATGAATCTCGACGATTCCCCTTGTTGGATCATCGGCAGGGCAAGGGATATAAACTTCTTGGTTCTGTGCGATTGGCGGAAGCGTGAAGGAAAACGGTTGAGCAAAAGCTGACGGTATCTTCTCAAGGTAGCTTTCCTCAATCTAAACAAAAATATGCTTTTTTACGTTTATTCAGTCTTACTTGAGACATGATCTCCAATAAACGCTCGTGCTCAAATGTTCCAGCCACCGAGACCAACATGTTTTGTAAATGATAGAATTTCTTGTGGTAGTCGCGGCACTAAAATACAAGCTTATACAATGATCAACGAATAAAACAAACTTTATCGATTGAACAAGTTTCTCGCAAGTATTTCAATTCTCCCCCGGTGTTCACGCCGTAAGGGTTATTTTCTGGATACAGCAAGCGTTGAGCCTTTCTAAAATGTAGATTAAATTCTGCAGTGGAAAAAGTATACTTACACATGAACGATTGTCTCCATCTCACTCTCGTGATCTTGCATCTCGGAATAGACCACTCCTCCATCTTCGCCTTGACCGTTGATATGGTGAACCTCAGTGAGAAATTGTTCATTCTAAATAGATTCTAAACTAGATTTTGAAATAAACTTGAAGCCCACGGTAAGTGATGGATCCAGAAGATGATTTAAGTAGATCGGCAGCACCTTGAAGAAGCCCTCACTTCCCACCTGAACAATTATTGATTATCCAGGAATGAATCTTTAAAACACCGTTGACAAAGTATAAGCGGTATGATCCTGATCGGTCCACGCATTCGTGCCACTGGCCAAACAGCTAAAGAATTGATTAATTATTAAGGGAAATGAATGTTACCGATTGGCGATGATATCAAGTACACCCTTGTATGGGTATTTCTTTGACCCCATGAAGACGAGATGTTCCAATGTGTGTGGCAAGCCATCATTATTGTCAGCCTCGGTCACTAAAATATAAGTATACGGACAAAAATTGTGTAAGATGTTGTGCTTTGTCAAATATTCCGTAAAAAGACATCTGCCTGACAAAAAAACACACAAAAGGTTAGCACATTTTAGCAAAAATTTCCAATCCGCTCTATTTACATAGCATAATGTTTTATTCTCACCAAACGAAATGACGCCCTTGACCATCGGACCGGGCACATTGCCGACGGCAACTTGAAGCCGGGTTCTCGATGAGCGATAAAGTGATACCTAAAGTTAAATAAGCTAACGGAGAAAATTTAAAGCTTTGCTCTTGAATACAATCGTTTTAACAACACTTTAAGCTCTATTTTCAATCGTTTGACCTACTCTACCACCAAAATATGAAGCCATACCTCAACCAAATCGTTAAACTTGAAAATCGTTCTCGTCCAGTTCTTAATCGACATCTTCGTGCCTAAAACAAATGCATTAGTAAGAGGCGAAAAATTATCAAAAAAGCAAAGCTTTAAAATATTCTTTTGCTGAAATTTCGAAAAAAATCGTTGTTTCACTTTCAGAGTGACTTTCATGAAGTAAACCTTTAAAAAACTACTAAAATTTGGCAAAAAGCCATCGTAATGGGGAGCGGTCTCGGAACGGAAATGGGAAAGTGTTCGTATTTCTAAACTAAAAGTGGGTAAAGTGGGGAGATTCGTATTGGACTAAAATTAATGAGATAAAAATCAACGAAAGGTATAAATTTAGAAGCCCTTAAAGCAGATTATAATTGAGTGTCATTTTACTCGTCTTTTGTCATTCCACCTGTCTTTTAAGTAAAATTTAAATCCCCAATTCCGCCTGTCTTTAACACATTGGCGACGGTGTGGGCCACCGGTGACCTCCGAGTGGACTGCCGTCTGGGACGACGTGGGCCACCGGTGCCCCACAGTGGCCTAAAAAATGATAAAGTTGAAAAGACGCTATTTAGGGTTTTGATAGATGGAGAATTCAAATTTTGAGACATTTTTGAATATAACATTGGTTTGACAGACTAAAACCCAACCCAACCTGTCCCAAACTTGTCAGCAGACGTGCACCAAATCGACGGTAAACAGAAATCGATTACTCTACTTATTCTATTTGTTGTTTCTTTCTTTTTCCATAAAATTATTTACAATATAATTTACCGAGCAAAAGTTTTGCAACATCACTTTTTCAAAAAAAAAAACGATGAAATTTTTTTATAGAAAATGCCACCCGTTCGTAGGGCTTTTTTGTTTTTAATGTTTACATGTACACTTTATTTACAAAAACAAAATTGAAGTTCAGCGTAAAACAAAAAAGTCAATGACAAACTATTAAAAATACCCTAAAAATTGGGTGCAAAAGTCTTGCAACATTCTATGTTTCTCATTTTTATTGTTTTCAAATTTATTAATTTACACTAATTTTTGTTTTTTTCAGATACCAGGTACCGAAATCTTGACGAATCCCGAAAAAGAAAAAAAAATCATGAAAGCAATAAAAAAAGGAATTTCTCGAGCCGTTGTCTCCGATCTCTTTAAATGCAATCCTTCGACCGTTTCTCGCATTGTTTCAAAAGCAAAAACAACTGGACTTATGCACAAGATAGAAGAAAGGACGGCCAAGAAGAACAACAGCAAAAGAGGATCGAATACTCGTGATGGCTTCCAAGAAGGATCCAAAAATGACATCAACTGAGGGAGCTCGGCTGATCAAGGATGTTGGAAACAAGGATATCTCTCGATGGACCGTTTCTCGTGATTGACTTTCTTGTGATTGACTCAAGTAGAACTGTATAGCCGGAGGGCTGTACGAAGGCCTTTGATGACCACTGGCCACAGGAAACAACGATTTCTATTCGCCAGGACGTACCAAAGTTGGACAAAGCAGGATTGGGCCAACGTGATTTTTGTCACATGGCTCCTGGATGGTTTCTGCACCCAATTTTTAGGGTATTTTTAATAGTTTTTCATTGACTTTTTTGTTTTACGCTGAACTTCAAATTTGTTTTTGTAAATAAAGTGTACATGTATTATTCTAATTAAAACAAAAAGCCCTACGAACGGGTGGCATTTTCTATAAAAAAATTTCATCGTTTTTTTTTTGAAAAAGTGATGTTGCAAAACTTTTGCTCGGTATTGTATTTTAGAGCCTAAAAATAAAACCAACGATTCGTTTGCCGGGCATGAATTGTGGCGAGGAGAAAAGAAAAGAAAAATATTACTGGAATAAAGCCTCTCATCGGGTGGAGTAGTCGAATAGCTGAATATCTGTTTTTCGTAAAATGTTTCTATAAAACCTTTGATTAAATTTTCAAGTCGAAGTCACAAATGTTACCTTTGTCTTTCGATTTAAATTTTTTGTTTCTTTTTTAATGTAGATATTAACTTTATAGCTAAAACAAAATGGAAATGAAATTCTTGCTGAAAAACCCTGAATAAATCAATAACGAACGAGTTTAAAAAGTATAATGAGACTTTTAAGCAGTAAAAAGAGTCTATTTTAAATCCAAGATTAAAATAGACTTTTGCCAATAAAAACCGATAAGTAGCGTACTTCTTTTCAATCTGACAAGTCTAGTACATCTAGAGAAAGAAGCTTATAAGAAGTTTATATGAAAAGAAGCTTATAAGAAGTTTATATGACAAGAAGCTTAAAAGAAGTTTATATGAAAAGAAGCTTATAAGACCTTCACCACTTTTCAACGCTTTTCAATGTTGTTAATGATTCAACAACGATTAATGCCACAGGAATTTTTCCAAAAGCAATCAATCAAAAAAAAAAACGAAACAAACTAAGAGTTCTCAATTTTTTAGTTAGTTTGCTGTCGATTTTATAATAAGGTTGCTTTACATGTCTTTGACATGAAAGACATGTAACATACATAAAGACAACATGTCTTTTGAATGAAATTAATCTTATTTATGTAAATGAAAAAATTGGTAGTATCAAAGAGCACATTTTTCTATATTTTTTTACTTTTAAGAGCATTTCTTAGCATTACCTCAAAGCCTAAATAGCAAAAAAAACCTCGATAACAAAAAGGTTTTTCGAAATCCCTTGAGTTTTTTTGTTATCGAGGTTTTACTGAAATCTAGAGCGATGAGGCCTTTTAGCAAGATCTTTTAGAAACATCGATCTTACAATACAATACCTACAATACAATTATAATTGTTAGTACAAATAACCGGTTCAGTAAGCTTAGTAGCTTACGGAACCGGCTTACTGAGCACTTTACGGCAAGGCAGATGCCAAATTACTGTAATTGTGAAACTTACCGTACCAAACAGATCCCCTTCGAAAGCACAAAGTAATAAGTAATATTAGCCAAGAATTTGAATTGCTCTTGTCGTAAAGTGCTTTCCTTAAAATCTTCCTTTCTTGTCTCCTATCTCTGAAGCTCATCTCCACTTTCATTCAGCTCCAGTTGTTCAAGGGGAAATCGAGTTTCCCCCATTCTCCATTCTCTGTTTTTTTTCTCTTTCTCGTCAACTTCTTGTTTACCCATTTATTACCCCTTTCCTTCAATTCAAATCGTTCTAATCGTTGGCACTTTAGCACACAATTTCTAGAACAATGCGTGTAGAATATAAATTGAAAGAAAAAGTTTATTGGCTTTTTTTATTTGAAAGCTCATTGACCAGTGGTCGATCGAGATCTGAAATTTCTTTTTAACTGAAATCTTTATAGCTTTAATAGCTTTTTGATGTTTCAGTAAAGCCCTTACTGGTCTAATAAGCCTTTTGATTCAAATCAATCAATTATATCTACAGTTTGGGATCTGTTTAACTTGCAGAATGTTCATGAACGAATCAAAATAAAGCATAACCTTTTTGATGCGTTTTAAGCTGTGAAACTACAATACAAAGGTACCTCGTCGATTCCACCGTAGTCACTCGTCTTCTCCTCAACTCCGGCTCATTCCTATTCCAATATTTCTCATTCATTGGATGCGGCACCATCTCAATCGTTTCTTTCTTTTCCTCTTTTGTCCCCTTTTCATCCAATCTAAATCGCATTTCACTACATTTTTTTTTCTATTTTACTCTTGTGCTGTCGCTGATCCCATAAAGAAATGCATTCGTTTCATCGCCGCTTGCAAAGAGTAAAGAGGTTGAGCCTAAAATTTGGATATCCATTTTCTCTTCTTCCCAACCTGTCCCGCATCCCAAAATTGATCCGGTTTTACATCAGGGATATTCTTATATTGATCTTGACAACCGAGCGATAGCTAGGAAAGATTTTCAGTCTAATTCTGGAAACAATACCGTGAGATTCCTGTCAAGTAAAAAGTTGCAATCAAAATCATCATCGTCTTCTAAAAATTCGGTTTTGTTTGAATGTTTCAATTTCAGTATTATCTACCGTAAAGACTGTAATAGTACCCCACCCCCATAATGACGGTGCGGAGCGTTGCGTAGTTTAGCTTTGAACGAGTTTTTCTCGACACTGGTTTATGCTACAATGCTCACTTAGATATCAAAAAATAGCTGAAATTCAGGGCTATTTTTTTGATACCTAAGCGCACATTGTAGCATAAACCAGTGTCGAGAAAAACTCGTCCAAAGCTAGACTACGTAACGCTCCGCACCGTCATTATGGGGGCGGGGTACTATTACAGTATTTACGGTAGGTAGACTTTCAGTACCTCCAAACGGATTCAGCAAAGCCATCGCGACTTTCATCCATCCAACATAAATGATGAAAGTGATTGAAGAAATGATCGGGAAATGGAGATCCACCTGTTATGAAGAGTTAGAAATAAGTTAGAAAGTTCACGAAGACTAAAGAAATGCACATAAATTGCCGACGAATAGATTCTGATTACGATAAGTTTGTTTTCTTTAAGAGACCACACTTGGTCCTCTTGATCTTTCTCCTCTTGATCTGATCTTTTTCCTCTCCACAAACCTCTCCACTCAATTGATCTTGCGGGATGATAAACTGCCTCGCGAAAAGTGCCAAAATGAAATAGATGTAAGTAGCAGCAAAAACAACTTGCGGGTACAAAACAGGGATCGAAACCTGAAATGGAGAACTGTTCTGCATCCTGGCAATGGTCAAACCCAGTCATGCTGCCAAATGGTGATCATATTCGCTCGAAGGTTACGAATCTCCTGAATTCAATATTTTTAAAGCCATATAAAATAGATTTTTGCGTCTACTAGCTACCAAATTTCTCTCACCGTAGCCACAGCATATTCGAGATATTCGGAATCGACTCGTCCCTCCTCTTTCGCGATATTCAAAAGACTCAACGCCCAATTGAGCGGCACCCACGATTTATTGTATCGATTTTTGATTGATTCATACTTTTCCAATTCGTGTGGCATCATAAAACCTAAATAATGGTATTAGGAGAATATGACAAAACTTTATGTAGTTCTGTTTGTTGAGCTCTCCTGACTCGAATTGCGTATACTTCTAAATAGAATTTTCTATTTATCTAAAGCTGATTAGACAATGCATCACAAAGCAACAAATAAAAAAAAAATATTTACCGACTTGATATAACTTTAGTTTCCACAACTTTAGTACTTATTCAACTTTTCGCTATGAGAAAAGTGAACTTGTGGAAGACTTGATCACTTTGATCAGTGATTATCAAACTTTGGAGAACTTGCTGGTGAAATTGTGACAAAAATCTGGGGTCATTTGCGCAACAGGGTCATTTGCGCAACAGGGTCATTTGCGCAACAGGGTCATTTGCGCAACTGGGTCATTTGCGCAACTTGCCATAACTTTTTTCTAGGTCGGTCAATCTTTATGATTTTGGTGTCATTTTGTTGCACTTATTGAGATCTACAAAAAATTTGGCGCAAAGTAGCCTACCCCAAAAATCTTCAAAGAGGCAACAAAAGGCGAACTTAAATAGGCTTGAGCTACAGTATCCTCCAGTTTTGTCTGACTTTCAGTTTAGTGCGTTTTAACTTGTACTTAAATCGGCTTTGTAGAAAGTGTCAAAATATTTGGCACAGACAAGATTTATCGGCTTACCAGCTGGTACCATTGAATCAATGGTTGGGAAACGGCGACGAATTTTCATGCTCACATCTCGTAGAAGGATTGCGTGTGCGAGGCAACAGTACCTTAAAACGGAAAGTTTTCCCGAGCAGCTTCAGTCTCAAGTCAAAATTAGATTTTAATCCTATAAAGCTTTGATGCATACCGTAAATACTGTAATAGTACCCCACCGCCCTCGTACAGTCGCGTAGTCGCAAAAGTTTTTTAATATTTCATTTTTTTTCAAAGCACCCGTACTTTCAAAAAATGCGTCTTTGGTATCAAAAAATAGCCCTAAATTTCAGCCATTTTTTGATGCCTAAGCGCGCATTGTAGCGTAAACCAGTGTAGAGAAAAACGCGTCCAAAGCTAGACTACGCAACGCTCCACACCGTCATTATGGGGGTGGGATACTATTACAGTATTTACGGTAAGTTTTTACCGTTTTTATTTACCGTAAATACTGTAATAGTACCCCACCGCCCTCGTACAGTCGGGTAGTCGCAAAAGTTTTTTAGTATTTCATTTTTTGCAAAGCACACGTACTTTCGAAACATGTGTCTTTGGTATCAAAAAATAGCCCTGAATCTCAGCTATTTTTTGATACCTAAGCGAGCATTGTAGCATAAACCAGTGTCGAGAAAAACTCGTCCAAAGCTAGACTACGCAACGCTCCGCACCGTCATTATGGGGGCGGGGTACTATTACAGTATTTACGGTAGCTATAGGTACTAGACATGGATTTCGAATCGGATCGGATCATCTAAGCCGAAAATTCGAATCAAAACCATGTCTAGATAGATTCCACATTTAGCCATTGCCCTATTCTGTTTTCTTAATATAGTGTCTTGCTCTTGCAACCATTTCCCTAGAACTTTAGCTCACAGTACCCAGCTGTAAACTCACAATATCCAAAAATCTCATCCAAATTCCTTCCCAAACATTTTTTTCCCTCTACTCACCTGACAATATTTCTCCTGAACATCCTCCCCCTCGCGTCATCCCCTTGTACATACTGAGCCGTGAACAAAGCAACACTAAATCTCTCATTAAACCTTTTCCCGGCCATTTCTTCAATACTTATCGATGAGTCCCAAATTCGTGAACATGACCGTCCATCGATTCACCACCGTTGTCACAAAGAAACTAGAAACCAAAAGAGAAAGTTTCCCTATTGTTCTTGGGGGCCAACCTGAGCATGAAATTAAGGGGAATGAAGCCGAGTGACTTGTCGCAGAAACGGATGAATTCTTCCAAAGATCTAGGGATTTTGAGATGATTTGGGTAAGCTTAGAGAGAAACTTTTGATTGTATTTCGGTAAAGCGTATCGATAAATTGCGTAGATAATGAAATAGGAAACGATCCAAATTAAATACTCGACGAGGACTGATTTCCATACAGAGCCCTTCCATCTGAAATGGTTTTACAATTGAAGTTGAAAAGTCTTTGAATGTAGTTTTTAAACACAATTTGATATACAAAACCAAGTCACCTGAAAAGCAATTTCAATATCAAATGCGGCTTTGATGTGGCCACTTGATGATGATATGGGACAGTCATTCTTTCGTTAACTTGCCAGACTTCAAGAAATTCCAACCTTCCAAAGACACCTTGCACTCAAAACCTTCCCCTTTTCCTCTTATCGCAAAAGCTCATCAAGTTTCATGACCGAAGTCTCTTAAAAATAGCACCCCATTAATTGTCTTTATCTCACCTTCTCCGTCACTGCCTTTGAAGGAAACCGCTGAGATCTGTGTTCCAAAATCCAAGAATTTATCAACACCCGTACAAATTAACAAAGCAAAAGCTAATCACAAACAAAACTAACTAAACCTAGTAAACTAAAAAAATTATCTCAAACTATTCCACTATGCAATCGTCAATGATTTGCTTTAATCGTTCTTGTCGATCGAAATCGCTCAGTCGTCGTATCAAATCGTCCAAATGTTCGGTGCCGCACATCAATTCCTGAAAAAAAGGTAAAACCATTAAGAAATAAACAAAAACCTCAATATTACTGAAGTTTACATGTATCCTGTGGTCCGTAATGCGATCGTCTTTGAAATTGTAGGTGCGAATCTTCTCGGCGCGAGCTCGTGAGCCCATCTAAAATCAAAAATTAGCAACTTTTACTTGACAAAATAATATTGATTAAGCAAAGCTAACCTGAAGTTTTCTTGCAGACATCGTTTTCTCATCGGCCGAGTCGAATCGTTGCTGCAAGAGACAGGCCGCCAATCTTTTATAGGCAATCTAAAAATTAAAACCTTAACATATAAGATAATGGGATACCTGTAGATTCAAGTGCTGGAATCGTTCTTGCATACAATGGACGGAAATCCCAGTCTCCTTATGTGTCAATCGAACAGCGGTAGATCCAAAAACTGCTCTTACACTTTAATATAGGTAGTCAAACTCCAACCTCTTGTTCACATTTTGTCCACCAGGTCCGGATGCTCTCATTGCCTCCACTTTTACCGAGTCGGGTGGCAAAATGAGTGAAATCTAAAGTAAAACATAGAGATTTGAAAAATTGTTGGAATCCTTGATCCTATGTTTTTACTCCAAAAAATATTAAATATTTAATTTTTAAAGAAACGCCAACTATTCTACATGGTTCAGTTTTGTTCTACACGTTTTGTTTAAACTAATGCCATTGCATTTCCACGCGACTACAGAATTGCAAAGCTTTACTTCATCAGGCTCGGGAAGCACAGTAACTGAAGAAGTTGAAGTGTGCATTCGAGATTTGTCTGTGAGTGGAATCCTCTGTACACGGTGAATACCCGCTTCAAATCTAAACAGCAAAATATCAAATAAATCCCAATCGGCAATACCTTAACGCAGCAAAGCAACCATCTCCTTCGACTGCAACAGCCGCACTACGAATTCCACCAAGAGGTACATCTTCTATCTGAAAGGGAACACGAGATCGATTAAAATAAAAATCGTGCAGTCGGTGACTGTAGCATCAATGTCATCACCTCAAACTCTCAAAAATCATCTGATCTTCAATGTTTTGAATTTCATTATCTATGTTCATAACATGTTATTGCATCTACAAAAAATATTTTTCACATTAAACGAGCAAAGGTCTAACACTTCCAGAAAAAGAGAGGCCCTTGCGCGAATCTCTCTCAAAAAACCTGTAGCAAAAGAAAGTGATAAGGCGAGTTGGGCAAAGTCTACGCAAAACATCAAACGCGAGAGAAAATACGAAATTGTTTTTCAGTACCCCTTGAACTCGCCACTCCCGCTATATAAACGAAAATACCACCAGTTTCCCCAACGAAGTCAATCGATCAAATTTTAACATTTGCCCAACTATGTCGTCTACAAGTTTCTTGCTTCAATGTTTTCTATCAATTAGCTTGATGATGGCACTTGCCCTTGGTGCCCCATTCTTTCCAGGTAATTTTTGAAACAATCAGACCCAATCACATTACTGGCTGTTAAATTTAATTCATAAGCAAAGTTTAGATGACAATCTCCCCGACAATTCGATCTTTAATTTCATGCAACCTCGATTGCGGGATTAAAAGTGAATGAATGTCTAACTTCTTCAAATCTACGGGTCGATCAATAACTTTAACACTGCATTTTTCTATGTAAAATAAATTTTTTTTTAATTTCATGAATTGCTTGATATGTTACTTGAAATGGCGTCCATTTCCATCCTCTCCACTCCGAATAGCGTCTGTACATCTCGAGCAGTTCCCCCGTGAAGAGCATCGCTTCTTGACCGCCAGCGCCACTAAAAAACACTTGTCAAACTTTATTAGTATTATCCAGGATTACTCTTTGATAAACATTACCAATTTCGTACCCGTTGACCCAAAAACTTACGCAGCAAATTCGATCTGACATTTCTTCAAAACATCGGCTTCTGATTTCGGTAGTGCCACTTGTGCCAGTCGTTCTGCAATTTCGTCCGTTTTTGCCTCGACCGTTTGGAAATCCTCTTGGGCCAACGCTTTTAGTTCTGGGTCGGAAGTTTCTAAATTTAAGAACTTAAGAATATCTACTTATTGAATCAAGATGAATAAACTAACAAACCATTTAATAGCTGACTCAATTGGTCGCTTTCTTTTGCGCTCACTCGAAAATGAGCTGCATCGTGTTCGATGTCTTCCCAGTACGATATCCTCGTTGAATTTGCTTGAAGTTGCCCGGATTTTGCGGCAACGAGTCGCTGTTTTATCTAAAAATAAACAAATTGGTATAGTTAGAACACGAGACCTCATACTTTCGTACTTTAATGTTAGACTATCTTATTTATGACAAGGGTTTAATGATTCACCTCTTTCAGAAAACGTTCTCCTTTATCGCTCTGAAACAACGCTCGCTCCGCCGAAGCAAAAAGTCGTAGCGACAATCGAGCCATTTGCTCGCACGACTAAAATTACTATTTATCAATCAAAAAATTTAACCGGTAATCATAAAAACATGAGATCATAGAATGAGCAAAATTTGAACAAACAAAAAGAGACACCTTTCCCTGACTTGAAATAACATTTTTGGCTGTTTATATTTAAATGGAAATTTTCTCAATCATTTGGCTTAAATCCTCGGTCATCGGCTGCATTTTGAGGGGGTAGTGCTGATCGAAGACGTGCTTTCCAAACAAGCGAATTGCCTGGAAAGCGTGAAACTTGTTCGCGAATTTCACGTAGGCGGTCGGTCCATCGAAGCTCACTTGTTCGACGGAAAGCTTCTCAAAAATTGCAGCCACAACATATGGAGAAAGTCCAATGGGTAAACCGGTGATCGAGATGGAAGATTCAAGCGATTCTGGCTTCTCTGGTGGCTCACCGTGAATCATGGTCACAAAGGATTGCATTGCTTCAGCACCTTTCGGGAATCGCAGTGATTTCTCGACTTTGGATGTTTGTCGATCGCCGAGCGCCAGACGAAAAGGCCGATCACTCTGTGGAATCTTTCCGCTGCTCAATTTGAAAAGCTCTCGGCCAATCCATTGAGTGATGTTGCCCAAAACCTCTTCAATGTCTAATCCCTCAAACTTGTTGAGCGCATTCTCCTCAAGAACTCCCTGTCGAACGAGGCCCATTTCATCACACATCATTTTCATCCACCTATACTCATTTGAGTCCTTTCTCGGCAAAATGTGAAGCACAAAAGTGACAGACGGATATTCATCGTGAACCGTGTCGTAGATTTCGTAGACGTTTTCAGCATTGTCAACTTCTGCGTAGAAATGGGCCATCTCCTTTTCCTCGAAGTTGATATTGGTCCCAAATTCGTGTGCCCTTGCAGCAATCGCTTTTACAAGCCATCGACCGAACTCCAATAGTTGAGGGATCGTTTCCCTTTTCTGCACGGACGCGATCAAAACCCATTTGTACATCTCAGCTGAAAAAAAAAAATTGTAAAGTCAAATTTGGAAAAGTAAAGCAAATCAAAGGTCTTAAATTGTCGAATCTTAAGGATTGCCAAAGGAGCAAGTTTAAATTTATTTGAGTGCAATAAATTGAAATGGCGCAATTTTGGCTCAGAAGTTACCATCAAAAGGGCACCAAATAAACGCCACAACACAGTCCTACAGTATCCAAAAATTGTTTCTAGAGTAAGGCCAAGTCAGGTCGACAGATGATTTCCGAAACTATGTTCAACTTTTGCGTCAAGTACGTTTTTGCGCGTGATTTTAGCTGCATATTTTCTTAAGAAAATATCTAACATTTTATTGATTTTAGAAAATTATAAACCCAAACCAAAGTTGCACACAACAAATAAATATAGATCAAAAGAATCAAAACCAATGTTGAAAGAAATTAGGTACAAATGAGAAACAGCCAAATCAATAAAAACAACACTTTAACGACAAGTGAAAATTCTTTTTCATCTTTTATCCTTGAGGATTTCGTAGACGGAGATTGTTATTCATCTCGAGCGCCACCATCTCCCTCAAGGCCACTTGTTCTTCGCCAGGTGGTGCAGCTAAAGACATAGCTTGCTAAAACAATAGCAATAGACAACGCTTACCAATAACGTGACCCTCTTCATTGAAAACCCATGGATGATCTGTCACACTTTTGTGTACTTCTTGGAGGTGCCGATAAATGTCTCCATTTGAGCCCTGGAAATAAATAATTAGCAAATAAAATTATTTTACTTTTAAAATAAACAAACTTACCATGTAGTTGCAAATCCAGCAGAAATCTGTGTTACAACGAAGACATTGCATGTGATTACAACCGTGGGTTTTCTCTATCAGCATCTTACAACCCGGGCAAAGCGCAACCTTGTCTGGTCCCAAAGAAGTCATGTATCTTTCCACCGACACTCTATCATCATCTAAAATAATATCAGTGAGCGATCCCTTTTATTAAGTGCAATGTCCTAGTTCTTCAGCAAAAATTTTAACGCAATTTACTTCGGAGATTTTTGTAGTCAAAACACGACATAAACGAATGTTCTTCAAGTCCACAAAAGCTGCACATTTTTCGAGAGCACGAGTCACACGTAGATACGGCATTCGATAACTGTCCCTGCTGCATCTTGCGCTAAAATACTGGCTTAAAAGATAGATTTTGCAAAAAAAACCTCAAAGATTCCTCTACAGTCTGGCGTAATGCAATTGAAATAGGACGACCCCGGACGATTGAGAAGGCGCTCCAAAGTTGTCGACATGAATGCTTCTAACTTCTCGGCATCTAGCCACCAAGCTCTGTCCTCTAACGTGAAGCCACCTCCAGCGCCAAGAAGTAGTCGCTAAAAACGAAAATTAGCTTACTCTTAATTTAGTTTTTAGAACATTTAAGACCAATAATGTGTTAATGAATCACCTTGATATCACTGGCAACAAATGGTTCTCCACATTCCTCATAAGCACAAACGAGGGGTTGTCGCCGTGGGCTGCGTTGGTCTGTCAGTACCTTGAAAAATATGTTCACGCGTTTTACCAAATCGAAAGCTTACTTGCTTATTGATGCATTCGCGGCAAAAATAGTGTCCACAGATTTCAAGGCGATAATAATCTTGATGGAGAGGTGGCGATAGACAAATTCCACAATTCGATGACAAAAAATGCCTGTTCTCCATCACAAAGTGCCGAGATTTGAAAGCCTAAAGGATGTTAATTACAGGTGTTGAAGGCAAAACTGTTTACCGTTTGTGCGAGATCATCAAGCAACCCTCGTAACTGTTCATATTGTGCAACAGTACCATCAATAACGATTGACATGGTTGTCGCATCAAAGGTGATCTTTGGAACTTCTTTTGCTGCAAGGAGATAAGCAAATCCAGGAGTATCTAAACATACACGCATTTAAAAAAAGTAAAAACTACTTACCTTTAGCAAAAAATTCATCAACGTAATCGACAAGCTGATCAAAATAGTTTGGGTATTGTGGAGCAGTAATTGCTATTGAAGCCTTCACTTTCATTGAATGTCTGAAATATTAAAAATTATACAAATTTTTACGGTATCAACACCTGTTAACAATTGCAAGCCGAATCGTTTCCGAAATTTCTTCCGTTCTTTCAGGTGGGCCCCACATCGTAATTGTACGTCTCGTTACGTCAACATCGTAGAAGAAGTCCAACCTTGCCTTTTCTTGCTCAAGTTGTTCGTGTAACCATGCAGCACCAATGCTAAAATTAACGTACAAGTCATAGATTTAACATCTTAAAACTCACTCAAAGAAGATCCAATTATCGGCATCGTCTTGGAGCTTAAAAGTCTTCGGATTGAACAAAGAGCGCAAAAATTTAAAACCTCGATCCGCGTAACTAAAAGCTGTATGCATTACATTTTAAACGCAAACGAAGCCACCTCTTTGGCCATCCACACACACCGAGTTTATCTGTATTTAAGTTGGTAGATTGAAAATCACAGATTCGAATCCACTGTTGCGCGTCCGATTGAGAGTTTTCCCTAAAGTAAAATAAGCCTCTAACAAAAAAGCAGCCAACACACCCAAATGGATTATCGTTGAATTTCTTCAGCACTCCATCAAAAATCGGGCGCAAGTAGCTGGGCACCTCCATTTTGTGCCCGTATTGCGGCAGATGATTGACTTGAGTCCGATCGACAGAATTTAAACTGATTCGACGTTTGTCCAGTTCGTACATCATGTGCCTCACGATCATCGTACCTTGTTCAATATTCTTGAAGGTGGCCTGAAAAGAAAAGTTCTAATAGAGCAAGGTAGACCTACCGTCACAGCGTTATAAGTGTTATCGCTGCCGTCAAAATCAAAAGTCCACGGAAACTTAGAATAATCCAAAATGTACTAAAAGATGATAAAATAAATAGTTGAGTCTTTTAAACGTACCCTATACAAAGCGAGTTGATCTTTTGGATTGTTTTCAGAGCCATCAATCCATACTTTTCTTTCCATCGCACTTTTGATAAAATGACCTGATAAAGCCCTGCAAGTTTCAAGCTGCACCCTGCAAAAAAGATATTTGTTATATTAGTATCATAAACCCACTCATTGGTTAATTCTTGTGGTGGATAGCGATTCATCTTCACTGATTCGATCTCGACTCCAGCTGGCGTTAAGATCGAGCGAACCCACTCGCATGCTTCATCCTCGTTTTTGATGTCATCTGGATACATTCTGATTTCGAGCTAAAAACGATTATTGCAATTCTGTAACAAATGTGCGAACTTCTTTACTGTCAATGTATCGTCGCTTGATATTCGTGGGGAAACCATTGCATGAAAACACCTCGTTAGCGTATCTCACCAAAGCAGGCTCTTTGATCTAAAAAGGAAGTTTCACAGCAAGTTAGAAGCAAGCCTTACCGTCAAAAGAATGGTAGGTAGTGGAGGAGATTTTTGCCAGCGGAAGAGGAGTGAGACTGACTCTTCATGTCGTGTATTGCCGTGATATTCGCCCAAAATGAAATCCTTTGGGCAAGCAAAGCATCGCAACAATCCATTCTTCTCGATTTCTTGACGTCCCATACAAGCTTTGTTCGTGTTTCGATACTGCACAATGAATGGCACGCAGTCTTTCTAGAAACATTCATTTAAATTAGTTAGTTTCAAATCAACTTACTTCTCCAAGTGCGCAAAGGATTCTTCGACGTTCAAACGAGGTCAAACTCCTGCGTTCGCCAATATCTTTTGAAAGCAGCATTTGAGAGCAATCTTCTTGAGTTCCCAAAATAAGCAGCGAACATCCATTGTCGTTTGGTGAAAGAAAGTCACATTCGCCACCTTCTCCAACCAAAATCTAAATAAAGGATAAAGCACAACAAGGAAAGACAATTTACTTTGAAGTTATGGTTTGGGACAGCCATCTCAAAGGTCTCCTCTTTCAAGTTCGTGAAAATTTCTTGGGCATTTAGCCTCTGCATTTCCTCGTTAATCGCGTGATCCATCGTCTCGTCGAATGGCATCTAAATGTTAAACTTGTACAACAATAATGCTAGGTTCAAACCTTCCAGAGTGTGACTTCATGCTCTCCAAAAAGCCATCTTTGAAACTTCGATTCTTGTTCAGGCTTGTTTTCCTGCAGGTCATTCTCGTATTCTTGAAGTACACGTAAAGCCATGGTTGGTCCAAAATGAATGAAATGGGATGAATGCAAACGCTAAACAAAGTCATAATTAGTAATATAGGTGAAATATACAGTAATTGTTTCAAAAAATTCGGACAAATTCTCAATATATGGGTTGCTCATCAAATGCGCCCTAAACAAGAAAAATAATTAGATATGTTATTTGCTCTCCCACTTGAAAACTTCCATAGCTTCAGCAATTCTTTCCCGCATCTTCTCTGTGTATCGCATTTGATCCTGTTCTTGATACACCATCCTTGGTACTGCATTTGATATCATGGTTCGAAATGCCTAAAGTAAATAAAACGTGAAACGATTAACGAAGTAGAACCTCTTCAGTCATGTCCCGCTGGCCAAAGCTTGAGACCTGCTTACGCAACTTGCTTCGCACCAGTTTGACGTGGTCAATGTTGAAGTAGATTCGCGGCTTCCACTCAAAGCTCTAAAAACAAAAAGCTAACCTTAGTAGGAAGTAGCTAGCAAGGTTCGTAAATTGACTATGGAAAAACAAAATGTTTACCTTAATCACGTCCAAAGTAGTTTTCCATTGAGTAGACATCCAGGCGCGTTCATTTGGTGGAATGTTTTCATCATCCAGATCCCATTTGATAAACGTCAGCTTGCCAACATTTGCTGGATCGATTTTTGGAGTCAGCTCCGGATACCGCACAACGTAGCAACTAAAAGAAAATATCAGTTTCCATAACAAACAAGATGTTTACCCTGCGGCATCGTTAAAGTCAGGCTCCCAATCCTTTTCGGTAGTCGCAAACCCCACGGGCACTCTAACTAAAACAAAAGGTTAGAAGAGATCTGTAAAAGATGTACTAGCAATTTCTTAGCGAATGCGTGGATCGGTTCAAAGAGCTCAATAACTTTTGTAGGGGTAATGGAGACGGAGGTACTATGGGCTTTGGGGGGGGGGGACTTTTTTTACCAAAACAATTTTTTCTGGGATAATTGATGATGCTGCTCACGTAAAAGTTATTTTTAAGGCAAGTTAGTAATGGAAAAATGTCCGTTTTTAAAACTCAATGTGCTATAATAGTTGAGGAGGGGGGTTTTTTTCGCCAAATGAGCTGATTTTTTTGCACCCAGAGGTTTTTGACTATGCTGTATCGATTGGTGATGGTTTCATACAACATTTCGTAACTTTTAACAACATTCCAGGCTCCTATATTTACCTAGGTTTTGGCCCCGCACCTTAGAACCACGTGGTAACCAGGCTAGCCTGATTCTCCTACGGCTGAGGTGCGTTTCGTAACAGAAGCAAGTGGCTCCCATAAATCTACTTAAGTATGTCAGGCTCAAAATTTCAAAAGATAAGAGAAGTTAATGTGTTAATGAGAATTTCAAAACTTTGTTACATTTATAGACGTGACTGACCGAGCCTGCTAGTAACTAAAAAACCTACTCCAAGGCCGGCCCGCACCGTTTGCTCGATTACGCCGCACTCGTCGCGGAGCTTGTCCTGTTCCGTTCATTTTCTAAACAAAAATAATTAATCGATACATGAATGGGTTGAAATGTGAGCAAAATGAAAGGCACTAGTAAAATTCACTTGTCCATGGTTCATATCGGGACGTTCATGGCTCATGTTCGGAAAGTCACAAACGAAAAGTCCTAACACATGAACGAACATAAACCATCAACGTTCCGACATGAACCATAAACTTTCTAAAGAGTGTTTCAAGGAAATAAAAACTCTTTGTAACATGAATAAGAATCATGAACTAAAGAATGTACACTCAAACCACGGGCAGTTAAATGGCTTTTTAAAACCGCGCACTTTCAACCGACAAGAAATTAAAAATGATTTTTCGTGATTTTTCAGTTATCTACTTTATAAGCGTAAAGCGGGGGTGGGACAAATGCGACATTTTTTTTGCGCCCCTTTTTTGCTGGAAAAGGCCTTAGGCAAGGCCGTAGAGCTTCGAAAATATTTCGAAAATACTTCCTTATACGGGAATCGTATACGTAGATTCCGAATTTCGACAAATCAGACATCGCTGACACGTCAAATTTGGAATCTACGCATACGATTCCCTTCCATGAAAACATTTTTGAAGCTCTACGACCTTTCCTAAGGCCTTTTCCAGTAAAAAAAAGGTGCGCAAAAAAAGGTCGCATTCGTCCCACCCCCGCGTAAAACAAACTTTTTAGGTATTCAGTTTAAAAAAGCGACAAATTTTTGTAGACAGAAATGAGTGCATAGTAGAAAACAGAAAATTTCCGTTTTTTTGTTTGTTTTTTTTTCACATGTTGTGCAGTTTTTCTTTTAAATTTAATGTCAAAAGATGATTCTTCATTTCAAAACACTGTATTCTTGTGAGTAGCACGTTTTGTGTAAGGATAAAAGGCACAAATCGAGATAAAATGAACGAAAAAACGACGAAATGCTCATAAAATTATATTGCACTGAATGCAGTGAGACGTGGGGTGAAGAAAAAGAAAAAAACTCGTACACAATTCGGCAATACCTATTAATTTATGAATAAATTAAAAATGAATAAAGATTGGGGGAAGTAAAAGCTTTGGAGAAGAAATTTCTTTGCAGAGACCACGAAATAAGAGGCATGACTGTATTCTTCTTGGTTAAAGGTTTTCTAAAAAGTGTGCTTAGCTACCGTACGGTACTTGTTGTACAACAAGTACCGTACGTTGTACAACAAGTACTTGTTGGCCTTTTAAGTTAGAAATGGTTCAGAAGCCGGAGCTCAAAAACCCACCGTACTCCAGGAGCTTTTCTCCCGAAAAAGAAAGCTATTGTATCTTGGTTTTCACTAGTGAATGAATCGCTTAATAGCCCAAGATTGAATAAAAATGAATCATAGTCAGCTATTCTGGCTGAGATTTACGGTAGTACTGCCTGAAGTGCAACTTTTAGAAAGTCTCAATCAAGTGAAACACAGTCTACGTATAATATGGCAGTTGAGAAAAGGAGAATTGAGATTTCGAGTTTGTTTGTGGAAAAACTGACAGCACCACGAGTTAAAGTTAAGTTTTTATGAAAAAATTTCTAATAACAAGTATCGCTTTCCTCAATAAACTGGGTGGTACGTTTGCCCCTGCTCGCAATTGATGTACCAATCGATTCGACGGTCGATGTCACGTTGAACCTGAAAGCAAAATCAAGATTCCTGTTTGATATCTAATTGTAAGCTTTGAAAGGATAGACTTTGGATCAATTGTCCTGTTTGATCCAACTTTAGTGCTACAGTAGCCCCGGATTAAATCATAGTGCAGTTACAGTGGCCCTACCTAGGTAATTGTTCGGTTCAGTAAACGTGCTAGAGTACTTCAAAGCTTGTCTTTACTATACTATAGAGAACTCTTAGCTGCAGATAGCTAATAGAAAAATCTCTAATTCGCAAATTTTCTGAACTCATTTTCAGGGAGATACTTTAAAGCTAGAACCTGCTACCGTAATCAGTAAATCGTAATCAGCTGATACAGTAACCGTAATACTAACCGTCTGTACAATTTTCTAGAGTTCAAACTTCTGAAAAAAATCCCTCTTAGCTTTATTACCAAACCAAACTCGACTACAGTACTACAGTATACTACAGTATACTTCAGTAGTCTTTTTTCATAAAACCTATCAAAATTTTCTCGTGGCCAAAAGCTTAAAAAGTTCTGAATGAAATCGAATTTCATGAAGAACTCACCGATTCGAGTCTTTTATTCAACTCGTCCAATGTTTGCATGTAATCGGCCAACTGCAACTCGGTTGAGTCTTTCGTCAATGCTGAAATTTTCATAATGAACTTGAGATTTAGCTTTTCCCTTACATGAAATATCTCCATTGTATTTCTTGGCCTTGTAGAGTAATTTGCTTGCGCGTTGCCTCAAGTCCTCGGCTCTTTTTTGTGGCGCCTCGTTGCCTTCTGTTCGCTCGGACAACAGTTTGCGAGCCGTTTCCATGTCGTTCTGAAATTTATTTGCAAATTTCATCCAAATCTAACTATAAATGATCGAATTCTGACAGAATTTTCCTCACCTTCATTTGCCGATTCTGCGCCTCAGCTGTGGCTGCAGCTTGTTGGGCTTTATCCACCGAGTTGTACGCCGCTTTCGCGTCATCAGAGATCTAAAATATTTGAGTGCTTTTTAGAATCTTCGCAATTCGAATTATAACAAACCTGGAGATATTGCACGCGAACTTGCTTCAAATCAGCCTCAATCTTCGCCATCGTCTCGTTGGCGGATTTCGCTTTTCCCTCAGCGTTCTCGGTCTCCTGTCTGGCTGCAGCCAAATTCTCCCTGGAATCTCATTTTTTGCAAAGTTCTTTAAAGGTTTGTAATTGGAAATTGAAATTTTGTTTCAATTTTTTAATGTACTTTTCGATTTAGAACTTTTCGAACTTTGTTTGTTCTGTTATGTAAATTTCATCTTTTTTTTTTCTTTTTGTTTGTTGTTTTCTCCTTTTTCTTCTTGTTCTTCTTGTTCTTGTTTTTTGTTTGGTCTTTTTTGGAATCAAAAGCTTGTTCGAAACCACATCAATCCCTCGATTCGTTAAAGAAAGCGCTCAAGAAAGCCTAGGATGACTTGTGTGTGGCGTACTTGCGTGCCGATCGACTTTGGGCTTGTATTGCAGCAAATGGGAATGTTTTTAAAATCTGTTGTTAACGTTTAAGTATTTTCTATCAATATGTTATTTTTGTTGTCGTTGGGATCTTTGTTCTACCAGATTATGGCCATATAAGCTCGAGGCGATATTATGCGGCCACCCTGTACTTTGTATCAGAGGCAATGCAGCTCTATAAAGTTAAGTCATAGTCGAGGATTCGTCTAAGCGTTACGGTAGCTGAGAAATGGCTTACTATTAGAATGATCAATCATTGAATACTTATTTCGTTCTCACCTCGCCTTTTCCATTTTCTCCTCGGCGTCCTTGATCGCTTGTTGCGCGGTCTTTTGCACCTCCTCGGCCACTTTTAGAGCCTCGCGAACGGTTTCCGTTGTATTCTAGATATCATTTACATTTATTTAAATCTAGACAATCTAGATAGCAATCTAGATAGCAAACTAGATTCTAATATCTGTCTTTAATCTGAATTCTTTACCTTGATCACATTGGCTCTCTCTTCAGCCCTTCTCGCTTGCTCTTCAAGTGTTGTCGCTTTCTGTTTGTCGGCTTTCGTTTCTCTCAAAATCAGCTCAATATTGTTGATTTTTCCGAGAGCTTCATGGATCTGAAAATTTGAATGAATTCAATTTCAATTCATCACAAGCCTTTTTCGCCAACTCATCAATTTGATCGGGTTTCAGGCTGATTTCCATCTTCAGCACCTCCTCGGCCAATGCTCGTACTTGTTCCGGTGAGCTTCTATAAAAGAATATTGTAAAGGATACTATAAAGGGGCACTGTAACTACTTTATAAAATACTTCGTACTATATTTTTGAACCTGTTTGAACTGATGAAGTCCTCCATCTCGCCGACCATCGAATCCAGCTCGTTCTTCGTAGTGTTGGCTCGATTAGCAGCATCCTGAAAAAACAGCTTATTCGTCAAATCTCTCAATGAATATCTATATTTCATTGAGCTTTATCTATAAAGAGTTTAAATTCTCATTTCCCTGACCTTCGCGATTCTGAGCGTCTCCTCGGCTTCTCTCTTCGCCGCATCAGTCACCGAGAGCACATCTCGAACCAAAGTCAACACCTAAAAATTAACATGTTTCAAAATTTCAATCCTATCTCTTACCTGTTCGCTTTCTTTTTGCTTGTCGTTTAATTTCGAATCAGCTTCAATAGCGAAACTCTTTGCCTGTTCGGCTTTCGAAACAGCTCCATCCATACAACTCTGAAAATAGATTGTTTTCAAAGCAATATCATATACTTCTATAAAAGAATACTGCAAAGAAGTAAACTTATAATTAGTCACTTTACCAGAGTGAAGTGAATTGTAGATTTGTGGAGAGAGGATTGAACCCCCCTCGACCTTTTGATTTCGGTACAATTGCTTTAACCATTGAGCTATTCGGTAGCTTAATTTGGCAAGAGAAAGAGGGGAAGAAGAAAGGAAGAAGAAAGGAAGAAGAAAGGAAGAAGAAAGGAAGAAAGAAAGAAGAAAAGTATTTTTTCATTGCTTTTTTCATTTTTTCATTGCAATTGCTTTAACCATTGAGCTATTCGGTAACTTAATTTGGCAAAAGAAAGAGGGGAAGACAAAGGGGAAGAAGAAAGGAAGAAAGAAAGAAAGAAAGAAGAAAAGTATCACAAACCTTTCCACCACAAATTCCACCGCATTTCCCTCCTGGTCCACCACAAAGTGCATCACAAGGAGCCGCCGCCGCACCACAAACTTGTTTGTTCAACTCGGGCAATGCAGCTTCAAGTATGTTAACCTAAACAAAGATATTATTAGAAATCTATGGCTCATTCATAGTCATTGGGTTGATAGTCTCATCATCTACAGAACTCGGATTTTAACTACAGAACTTTTACAGTATCCTACAGGAATCAGTACCATCTCCTAT